AATGACGTGTGGTTCATAGCTTATCATCTGCGCCATCAGAATCCACACGCTTGCTAATAGTGTCTTTTGATTAAATAATATATCGGGGGGGGGGGGGGTTGTTTGTAAATGGGAGTAAGCAACAAATCAGAATCCGAGGTAAATGGGAGTAAGCAACAAATCAGAATCCGAGGCTTGCTGGCGTAAATGCAGAGGAGATGTTAAGATGTCCAAACACAAAATAGACATCGATTAGAGGGCATCAAGTCTGGGCAACCACACATGTTTGTGGGGACCAAAAAAAAAACAATTTGTTTCAAGGATAGTGCGTACAGTTACTATCTAAGCATATTTGTTCGTGTGCTTTTGCAAGTTTATCGTGGTTACACAGACACGATGCCTTGTAATTGGTGTCTATTTGGTGTTTGAACATCGTAACGCGTGGATTTACGCCAGAAAGGATTCCAATGACCTCTTGTTGTAACAGCTCTCTCGCTGATTCAGCAGTTCCACTGCTAGATTAGTTTTTTCCGCCTGAGGACCACCGCTTGTGTTGCGATCAAAACGTCGTGATTTTTTTTCTTTCTACCTAAGTGACTTTACCGAAAGAACCAAAGAGTATTATAATGACCCTTTAATCATTCATTAGCTTGATACTTGCGAAAAGGTACCTTACCTATTCCTGTGTATTTCTGCACCTGTGTGTGCCACGTCAAATTAAGTGTTTCGTATTTGTGGATTGATGATGAGAAACCACGTGGGTCGCAGTGTGGCCTTACTTTCCTCTAGCACGGCATGCTCTATTGGTTCAACGCGATGCAATAACCACTCTGGCGTGCATTCCGTTGGTTATGCGAGCACACGCAATCGCAGTGGGTCATAATTGTAAAGCCAGTTTGAGTACGGTCATTGCTATAATCCGAGCCGTTTGCATCGTAATAAAGCAACGCTAACACACCAGCGGTGTGTGTGTGTGTGGAATCCTCGTCACTTGAATATACACGTCAAAGCAATATTTTACCCAAATCGTCTTCACAACATGAATGTCTATCGCCTACAGCGACGGTTAAAGCGTTTCAGCAGCGCGAAAGTCACAACTTCGTTTTGTTAATAATTCACTCGAGAGAGAGAGGGAAAGAGATATGTAATATATATTTTAACTTACAACTGATACAACTGAAACTGACGGTACTCTTTGACCTCTGCTTCAAACACATGTTGTACAATTATACAATTAGATCATATATCACATTGCTCTATAAGTGTTCGCAGGTTTTACGCGCTGCCCCCCACCCCCCTATACCTTCAGGGGCAAACGGTGGTTGCCTTGAGAGGCTCTGCGGGCGGTGACCTCCGTCCAAGGTGACAGCGAAGGGCGGCCACGCGCCTCGTTCACGCCTCCCAGCGTTGACTTTCAGGGGGAGGAGGGGGGACTGGTTGACGCTGGGCCTCTGCCAGTCTTTTCCTTGGCACGGTTTTGTAACGTCGCCCTTTGGCGCATGGCGGTTCACAGATTCCAGGTCGGGTTGTCCTACATAAAGTCCGCTCCAGTAGATTTTCTTTTTTTTTACTTTCCCCGCCCCATGGACATCTGTTAAAAAAAGAGCTTCATAGCTCATCGGATTCCTCCTCCGGTATATATGTAAAAAAAAAATCTGATACCGATTGGAGAGACGTGAGAGACCGCAAAAGGGGACAAACGAAAGGCACGCACAAGTCCTGACATTGCCCCCTTAGTGTTGCCTGTTGTTCGCTCTGGCCATACTTCACAATGCACTTTGGTTCTTTCGGTAAAGTCACGTAGGTATAAATTAAAATAAAGCACGACGTTTCGATCGCAACGCAAGCGGTCGTCATCAGTCACCTTCGTGACTTTTCACCAAAGCTTCAAATCAAGGTACTTCGCCGTGTTGGGTGAGTACGAGTTTGGCAGAAGGGAGTGGGGGGCCTTGACCGGTTTAGATATCACTCACCGCTGATTCAACTCAGGAGATGGGTGCGTGGCAGAGTAGCTGCTTGCATTCCTCACAATGGCCCTTCTTTGGTGCAGAGGCAGAGGGTAGATTGAATCTCACCACTGTGGGGTGGGGGGTGTGGGCACGGTGGCGAGATGTTAACTCCCTTGCCTGTCATGCAGGAGGTCGTGGGTTCGATCTTGACCCTGACGCCTGCTGCTGTATATTTGGAGTTTGTATATTCTCCCTGCGGTTGCGTGGATGTTTCTCGGGGTCCTCCGTTATTTTTTCCCTCCACATTTAGAATCAACGTGCGTTCACAGTATTCGGCTGCTATAAATTTTCGCTCGATAAGCTTCTGAAAAACAGCTACGTAGCTCAGTGGGCCTTACCTGGTATAATATAAAAATATATAGTTCAATAGTTTCGTTTCAAAATACCTCACAGTCGAAGACTCCACCTCTCTGGCCTCTCGTATGTGCTGTAAAGAAGTGACCCCTTTGACCAAAACACGTCACCTCTCCTCTACGTTTTCATCTTAAGGCCACAGTGTTATTGACGAATGTGGCGAGTGGTTTTCGTTCAACGGTGTGAAGGTCATGTTACACTGACTGGCGTGTCCTGAAAAAGTGGAGCCTGTTTAAAGGCCGTTGACGAAGAAACAGCGGTAGACAATGAGCAGCAGATAAGCCCTTTAAAAGTAAACCCATGCTGATGTGAATTAACTTTGTTATCAAGTGTGCCTGTCAGACCATTTGTACAAAGGCAGTGTGGAAGTTGTATTTTCTTGATGGAATATTTTGTATCTCTTTGAAAAACCAAGCAATTTGCAGATACAAGAGTGCTATTCTGTGGAGCTGTGATGCCGTGGTTAGCACACTGCACGATTCCACCATGCAACCTCAGTTCCATTGCGGTTAGCACACTGCACGTCAGCAGTGATACCTGAATCGCTTCTGGGCTCCCCTTCCCTTTACCGACTCGTACTGATCAACACCATGAAGTATGGTGAAACAAACCTGTTCGACCAACACAACGTAAGGAGGCATCCATCCAGCAGTGGACTGACAAAGGGCTGTACATATTAAGTTATATTGGCCTTATCTCTTACACGGAACACTGCCGGGCTAGACAGTGGGAAAACTGCAAAATCACCCATTGGGGCGTGAAAATATAATTTATGAATGAGTGAGTGCATACCGCTCGGTGAATATTACCCAGTACCACTGCGCTCTTAATAAAAGTAATGATTAGAGGAGAGTCAAAGTCTCATGGGAATTAGCATGCCACCCACCTCTGCCAGAGAGAGTGCTTAGCGCACCACCCACCTGGGTTCAAAACATATATATTCCTAAAATTACACATTTTACATTACATCGACCAGCGTTTTAGGCAAACAGTGTTAGGTGTTGGTGCCTTAATTAAGTTTGCAAAAGTATGTTAGTGTTTAAACAATGGTGACAATTGTAGTAACACATTAGGGCAATTTAGACCTTGATAGCTAGAGTAATTACATAATTCATGGCACGTCAAGGGCGCTTGCTTGGCTCGTGACGCTGGTAAATCCCTTTGCTAACGTGACGCTGGTAAGGATAGGGTTGGTAAGGATTATTAGTGAGTCAACTCATTATTTGCAAATCACCAAAACATTATGAATAAATTATTGAAATTATTAATGCGCATTCAATCCTAGGATCCCTATGCACAATGCATGAAAAGCAGGAAACACGAACACAACCAGGACAACCGATCAAACTAAAGAGTCAAGGCCACTTTAAAGGGACGAGTTTTCAAAGCAGACTCAAATATATCTACCGACTCTGATTGCCCTGATTTCAAGTGGCAAGGCGTTCCATAGCTTAGGTGCCACGCCGACAAAAGGCAAATACTCACCAGAAGAGTGCAACCCAGATGGACTGAAAATGTCACTGACGACTGTTGGTGCCACAGCTTCTTTGCTGAGTGCAGAGTCAGCGAATTTCCCGTTCACTCTTTAACCCCATTAAAGTGCCATTTATTGAAAGAAAGTTGGAAAATCAATTGGATGGTGAAAAAAAGAAATCCACACGTCCTTTCAAACTAACGTACCCTACTGGTGAGAAGGATATACATTTTCGGTCAATTATATATAATTCAATCTTGATTTGAAGCTTTCGTGACTGCAGAAATCCATGCTCTTTGGTTCTTTCAGGAAAAGTCACGTAGGTATAAAATAAAATATAATTGTTTAAAAAATTCAATAAAGATGTAGCAATTTTTTGTAAATAAGCTGCACGTGATGGCTTCATTCTAATTATCGACGATATAATGTACCTATGTAGAACTTCTTTCGCACCATACGTAGCCAACCGTGCTAATCAGAGGTGTGGGGGAAAGGCAACAGACTAAGCACAAAAAGCAGTTCTGAAGAAATTAGTTAAACAATCCATCCATGCTGGTCAGTGCAGGCTGAAGGGAGGTTTCAAGATACATCGAAGCCTCTCTAATTGAGGTCTCTCATATTGCCAGTGAAGTTATCTGCGGCGAGGCATCACGTTCGGATTGCCGGGCTCAAGGCAATGTGCGCCGACTGCTGATCAACCACTCCATACACCACGTCATCGATCAAAGGCGTTATAAATGCTCCAGCCGTGGCTGTTTGGGAGAAACGAATTCCACGTTGGAAAAAGACAAGTTACTCGCTTTCCGGCTCTAACGAGCATTGGGGTTGTGCGCATCTCCCGTTCAAAGCCCTGAGCCAGTGTCGGAAATTTCACGTTCTTATGACGCAGGCGAGTCTATCCACTGTTGAATTCCCCACAAAGCGGTACCCATTTTATCGACCCGAGAGGGATGACGGGGCCGAGTCAACCCTCAACCAGGATTGTAACTCGCAACCCGTCAGAGCGCTGGCCGCTCGCTCCAGCACCGAGATTGCTCGTCTCACGTGAGCGACGCTTCGGTGGAATTGACCCGAGTTGTTTTATTATTATTATTCTCCTTCTTCTCTCTCTCTCTCCATTCCTCCTCCGACTCTTATAACGGGAACGTGGCGGCTGCGGTGACGTCGCGTCTCACGTTCTGCAGCACAGAACCCGCGGCTGGTGATCGACGTTGAGCCTTCGTCCGCGGTGGAGCACACCGTGGTCACCCTCTCCTGCCTGTTGCTCTACGTGGAGGACGACAACGCGACCTTCTCGTGGCACACGCCGGACGGGGTCAACGTCTCGCACTTCGTGTTCTCCGAGGACAACCGCAGCCTCAAGATCCCGAGCGTGTCCCGGGTGCACGATGGCACGTACGCGTGCCAGGCCCAGCTGCTCTCCGGCCAAGAGCTGCGGAAGGAAAAGCGACTGGACGTGCACTGTGAGTTAGGAGAGTGCACGCACGCACGCGTTTGTTTTTCGGCTGCGTGTCCAATCACTGCTCGCACAAATGTATTATCATCATCATCATCATCGGGATCAGCATCATCTGCATCAGCAGCAGCAGCAGCAGTGGCAATGATCACTCTTTGCTGGATGAGGACTGCCACCTCTCACCATCTTAACGATGCAGCAAACCGCCGCAGCACTTGCACGCAAAACCCGGATTCATGGCATCCGTCTCCAGAGTGTATGGACATCCTGCCTCGGACGCGTATCCGTTCCTCGGCGGCAGCTCCGTTATTGTTGTTGACCACTGCCCCGCCATCATTCCCTCGAGCCCGTGGCGCGTGTCCTGCCCAAGCCCCACTTTTCATTTTTTTTTTTCATAATTCGGATGATGCCATGAAACTGTGTGTGTGTGTGGCCCCCTTTTACACGTCCCTCAATGTAATTCAAAGCACGCATCCTCCACGTATCCTCCACGCATCTCTCACCCGCATCTCTCACCACGTTCACGTTCCCAGATAGCCCGTGACCAAATCACCCAGAACGGGACCTTCTCGGACGCTAAGCGGCATTGAGCCCCGACTCTGCTTGCACGGGCGACCTCCATGTGTATGAGGTGTCACAGGCTGTGGGGCCACGCTGCGAGGGGCAGAGGGCGGCGCGGCAAACATCCACTGTTGTACTGTACCTACACGCTTCCACGTGTATGTCCCCCCTCACCTTCACCAACATGCACTGGCCAGCGTGGTGAGGTATGGTCAAACAGGTCTCACGGTGAACATGCCAGGTAGGAGGCCTCAATTCCACGTGCTCGAAGTTCACATCAAGTAGCCTCGTGCTCAATCCACACATTTGCATTGAAATAAAGGTGAAATCCAAAGATACGTTGAAGATCTTATCTTATTATAGATATAAACACAGGCTGCGTCGCGGACAGTCCGATATGCCTTTAAAGCTTCGTCAACGAGAGCGATAAAACATATCACAAAGTCGCGATCAACTGCATCCGTACAACTCGACTGCACGAACTCCCTCTCGTCATGGATAACAGACCTCGACGTTGGCAACCAGCTCCTGAACAAATTGCTGCCATACGAAAGAATATAACAGTCTATATGCAATCCTAGTCTGTGTGCAATGCGCATCGATAGCGAGGGAGGAGGGAAAGCAAAACTGCACGAACTCCCTTGTGAAGCCCTCCCGTCGTGACTTTGGCGCCCAGCTCCTGAACTCATTGCTGCTATATTAAAAGTTAGGAGAAGCAACGATAGCACTCACGTGACATCACTGTGATGACACTTGAAGAACTGGAACACACCAGCGCAGCGACATCACTGGTGCACACCACGGCAGTGTGTTTGACCATAATGACCTTTACTATAACGTCTTTAATCATTAACTAACTAACTTTCAAACTTGTGTCGGAGAGCCTTTGGGGTTTTTAGTTGCATCTTAAAACTAAACGAAACTATTTTTTTATTTTACCAGGTGAGGCCCACTGAGCTATATAGTTCTTTGTCAGAAGCGACATGGCCACAAATTATAGCTTATTGAAGTTGCTTATGCGGAAATATTATAGCAGCCAAATACTCTAAACGCATGTTCATTCTGAATGTGGTGGGGAAAACAGGAGGACCTGGGGGAAAATCCACAAGACCTCTGCGAGAGAGAACACGCAAACTCCGAATGTACAGGCGTCAGGGTCGGTAACGAACGAAGTCACTTAGCACGTGGATTTTTTTTAATATATATAGCAAACCAAATACTCTAAGCGCATGTTGATTGTAAATGTGGAGGGAAAAACTGGAGGACCCGAAGGAAAATCCACGCGACCACGGACAGAGATAGAACCCACGACCTCCTGCATACCATGCGAGGGAGAAGTGCCACTGGTGTCCATGCGTAACACAGATGAGAGCAATGAGACTGAGCTCACGGGCAGGAGCAAGGTGATCATTGTTTTGCAAGACGGTGAGGGATGGCGACAACATGGGGAGGTCTTCACCCACCAGTGAGTTGATCACGGCTGTTGTTGTTATTGATGATGATGATGACGTACATAATAATGCATCTCCTGAATTGATCGTTTGATTGCTTTTCTGGGCGGATCGGCGGTAGAGCGAGCGAAAACTCGTTGAGCGTTCGAATCCCAGGTAGGGATTGATTCAGCAGCCTCTGTGCTCGATAGCACAAATACAAAGTGTGTTGTTTCGGGACAGGGTTGTAATCCCAAACCGCGCTTGGATTACGAGCGGCTGCATAAACCTAAGCGTCAAAACGAGCACCGCCTTGTGGGGCCGTTCAACAGTGGGTGTCCTACGGTTAGACTCGCCCCCACCATAGAAACGTGGAATTTCCACCACTGACCCCCCCCCCCCCCGCAGGGCTGTAAAACAGGAGGACGAACACCGGCTCCCTCAATGCTCATTGGAGCCGCGGGAAATCAATCGCGACTAACTATAATCATTCATTTTTCCATCTATCGCTTTCGCGACCGCACGTGTTTCCGCTCGCCGCCGTTGCAGATGGACCCGAGTCGCTGAAGCTGTCCGTGCGCCACAAGATCGCCATCCACACGGACGGGAGCGCCACGCCGTTCGCCGTCAGGTCCGGCGAGTCGGCGAACCTCTTCTGCGACGGCAACTCCAACCCGCCCATGGAAATCAAGTGGAAGAAAGACTCCGTCGAGCTGGAGACCTACACCAAAAACCTCATGCTGAGCAGCATCCAGCTGGAGCACACGGGCGTGTACACCTGCGAGGGTTACAACGAGGTCACCGGGGTCAAGATGGAGGCGTCCATCAGGTTCTTCTTGCAGGGTAAAGAACGCAAGCGTTTGTGGGCACGTCCAGGCCGTCGCCTCGTCGCCGGTCATATCCGCGACCATTTGCCTGCTGTGTACACCCTTACCAGCCCCTAATGACTGTCCCACGTCCACCCCCCCCCCACCCCTTCTTTACCAACGGGTAGAGTACGGTATTCGCTCGCTATTCGCGAACTCGCTATCCGCGATTTCGGCTATCTGCGATTTCGGCATCTGGAACTCTGTACGACTGCATCGAGAGATAGAGAAAGCAAGTGATGCGATAAAGTGCTGAGAGAGAAAGCTTATTTATGTATTTATATAAGGTCATTCATTTTCGTCGGCCAATATCATTACCCGCGAAATGTGCTATTCCCGAGCATCTCCGGAACGTAACCCTCGCAAATAACGAAGGAATGCTGTACTGCTAATGATGCGGGGGGAGTAATATAAAATTTGCATTTTTATTAAAATTAGCACCTACCATATGGCGGAGGCTGGCGACAACTGCAACGCATTGTTCGCCAAGTAGCGTCAATGGCTCTGTATGTGTGTACGTTAAACTTCTTTCACAGATGAATCATTGCAGTCACGAAAGCTTTAAATCGAAATTCTTTCACACCGTACGTACCCAACCGCGCTAATCGGAGGTGCGGGGGAATGACAACAAACTAAACACAAAAATACGTTTTAAAGAAATGGCTTTGGCCACTATGGTGTCTTGATCTTTTGAGATTGAACGCCCCACGACGTATAGTTGACCCTTAATAACGAATAACAATTAGCTACATGTTTACAACGTAACTGCACGCTACTTAGTGACACGGTAGCGAGATGTTAACTGCTTCGTCTGGTATACAGGAAGTCGTGGGTTCGATACCGACCCTGACGCCTGCTGTATAATTGGAGTTTGCGTGTCTCATTTGTGGCCAGTTTCGTTTTTTTAGTTTGGTTTTAGTATGATTCTACCCGACCATAACCACCACCAACCCGCACTTACCAGCTTGGTGAAGTTTGGTCAAACAACCGCACATGTCCAACATGGACCGAGGAGGTCTTCATCTGGCAGTGTATTAACAAGGGACATTACATTCATTACTTACATTGATAAAGCTGTTATGTTATCATCGTCCTTGTAGCTTATTCACCGATATGAATGACCGGCACATAAATAATTTGCTTTATTGCCAGGGGTGAAGTGCATAAAATAACTCAAGCAACATTTTCCCGAAGTTTGCAAAGTAAATCGGTGTGAACTCAGGGGAAATTAACTGCAGGCGGCGGTTCTCAATCTGTGGGTTGCACCCCTAGGAGTGAACAGGGGCGTAGGCTGCGGCATGGATGCCGGGGAAGGACATTTTTCAGATGTGTGCGGGAAAACGTCACTGACACATTGCGGCGAAAAGACACACCAACACGCAACGTGAAACCAATGCCTTACTAACACAAGACACACCAACATGCAACGTGAAACCAATGCCTTACGAACACAAGACACACCAACACGACACCAATGCCTTACTAACACAAGACACACCAACACGCAACCAATGTCTTACTAGCACAAGACACACCAACACGAAACCAATGCCTTACGAACACAAGACACACCAACACGACACCAATGCCTTACTAGCACAAGACACACCAACACGCAACCAATGCCTTACTAACACAAGACACACCAACACGACACCAATGCCTTACTAACACAAGACACACCAACACGACACCAATGCCTTACTAACACAAGACACACCAACACGACACCAATGCCTTATTAACACAAGACACACTAACACGACACCAATGCCTTACTAGCACAGGGCACCATACTGAAATGGTTGAGAACCACCGAGTCGTGAGGGCATCTCATGCAACCGGCCACCGGAAGCTGTTGACATTTTTTGTCCGCCGCCCTACAGAGCCCGTGAGCAAGCCGTGGGTGGACATCGACAAGACTAAGATCCTGGAGCGGAGCGGCTCAGTGAGGATGAAGTGTAACCACAAGCCCATTAAGGAGTGCTGGTGCGTGTGCTGTCACTCACCACTGACGCCTACGCGACGGTTTACAGCAACGTCCTCTCGATCGATTGTTAGAATTTTTTTTCCCCCCGCGCGGGTAAGACACGTTCAGTTTAACACGTAGCAGGCTTTCGCGACCGATATTATTCATAATGAAGGTTTTTTTTTGGGGGGGGGGGGGGGGTCGGATCGCGTAAGCGTGAATGTGTCGTAACCCTCCACCACCCGACGGGTGATGACATTCGTCCTGCTGCTCTAGTTAAGAGCGGAAGCAGGTGGATTGCTTCACTATTCTGGCCAATCGCCCGATGATGCCGGTTGATGTAATCACCAGCGAAACGTCGTACGACCCAAATTGTAAACGTTGTGGATTTGCTCTCCCAACACACCGGTGGGCTGAAGTAGTAACTATTTGGCGTTTTGTTTACGTGACAAATCCCTTACTAATTGGCTGTGTCGGGTGGTGGAGGTTTACGACACATTCATACTTACGCGATCTAACCCAAAAACCTGTATTATGAAAGGCACATTCAGCTGGTTTCTTTTTTACAAGAATGACCCACGTGGGACAACCTTGGGGGAATAATAATGAAGTTCCAGCCGCAAGGCAGCGGCGGTGCCACATAACCCTGCAGAGACTTGAGGAGCAAACACCATTCAAATCATGGCACCACCCAAAGCACACTGGCAGCAAGTAACGCAGGAATCAGTGGCGGATCAACCGAGTAGCACAAGCAGCTACATATGTAGCTACTACACGTCTAGTAGCTACAACACGTGTAGTAGCTACAACACGTGTAGTAGCTACAACACGTGTAGTAGCTACAACACGTGTAGTAGCTACAACACGTGTAGTAGCTACACGTGTAGTAGCTACAACACGTGTAGTAGCTACAACACGTGTAGTAGCTACAACACGTGTAGTAGCTACAACACGTGTAGTAGCTACAACACGTGTAGTAGCTACAACACGTGTAGTAGCTACAACACGTGTAGTAGCTACAACACGTGTAGTAGCTACAACACGTGTAGTAGCTACAACACGTGTAGTAGCTACAACACGTGTAGTAGCTACACGTGTAGTAGCTACACATGTAGTAGCAGCTACGGGCCCCGCACTTTCAAGGGCCCCGCGCTAAATGCTTTCAAGCTATCAATTCCGGTTCAGTGATTCTGCACTTGCTCTATGACTATAGTACTATACCGCCTTCAACTTTTATGAACGACTGGGTATTTAAGGTTAACTATTTATCGTATTATCTCGCTGTATAGAAAATGAAAAAATACAATTACTTTACTATAAAAGTAAAAAATGTATGTGTTTTAATATTTACGGGTTTTTTTTTTATTTAGGGCCCCTTTATAAGATATGCTACAGGCCCCGCACTAGCTTCATCCGGCACTGCCAAGAATACGTCAGCGCTTAACCACGCTTGCAAGAAGAGGGAGATCTCAAATTTAAGGGAAGGAAATTTATAAAGGTCCACGGGGTGAACACAAAAGAGCCATGGCCTACCCGGGACTGTTTGCAACTCGGTGGTTCCGTATCTAACTTAACTACCTCGCCTGGTATACAGAAGGTCGTGGGTTCGATCCCGACCCTGACGCCTGCTGTATATTTGGAATTTCCATGTCTCTCTCACGTGGCTTTTTCTCCAGGTTCTCCGGGGTTTTTTCCCTCATTTAGAAACATGCGTTGAGAGTATTTGGCTGCACGTAATAGGCCACTTCCTTGAGCTATCATTTGTGGCCAGGTCGCTTCTGAAAAAGAGCTAAACAGCTCAGTGGGTTTTACCTGGTGAATTAAAACGTTTTTTTTACTTGAAATTCCATTACGATGATCCGTTTATGTTCAGCGACACCCTCTTTCTCCTCCTGGGTAAATAGCGGAGATTCGTTGAGGTCAATGACCCAAGTCACCTGGAATGCTCCCAATTTGGTCGGGACTGTGAGGCTAATCAGGTTTGAGCCTGGAACAGTGGTTGGATGGGTGACCACCATGCATAACATGTGATATAGGTGGCTGTGGGGCTACTGTACGAGAGAAGTAGTGAAGCGAATTCCATTGTTTTTTTTATGTCCCTGCTTCCCAACCTGGCCAATACTCACCGACTCATTGCACTGAGAGACAGAACGACGGAGACACATTGGATTAGAGGCCACACGCAATGAGTCATTATCATTGGTTTCAGCAAAATAAGTGGCATTGGGCAGGACACGTAGCTGTAAGTGACGACGGTCAAAACATAATAACGGACTTCTAGATTTGAAGTTTTCGTGCCTGCAAGGATACATGCTCTTTGTTTTTTTCGGTAAAGTCACGTAGGTAAAAAAATAAAATACATTAAAATGAAAACAAATCAATTATTACCTACGTGACTTTGTCCGAAAAAAAAACAAAGAGTATAATTACGGACCCTTAATAATGTGTGCTGCCCATGTGCAGCGTTGCATTCCAGTCGTGCTTGCTAATTCCGCTTGCCACGTCGGGACTTGCTTCGTACCCGCGTGAGACGCGACATCGAACACGGAACAATGATGCCGCAGCTGTGGGCACAAACATCCAGAACCCACCGCGCTCTCTCTCGCTCTCTCTCCCGTCCTTCCTTCTGCCCACATCCAAGGAAATGAGGGGTGGGTGGGAGATGGGGAGCAATTGCTGTCCCACCAAAAAAAACTCACACATTGCGTGTATTTTTTAAATATTTTTGGTTCTTTCGATAAAGTCACGTAGATAGAAAATAAAATTTAATTAAAAAATAATAAATAAATTGAAAATAAAAATGAAAGGAAAAAACCACGACGTTTCGATCGCAACAAGCGGTTTCCGCCTGATGAAGACCACTTTTAATTGATTTAATGTATTTTCTATCTACGTGATTTTACCGAAAGAACCAAGAATATGAATCCCTGCAGTCACGAAAGTTAAGTCAAAATGTATATTTTTTTTCAATTTGATATATTAATGTCGGGCCCCTATATTTGTTTTTCTTTTAAAAAGTTAAAAATGTCAGGACTGTTCGGCGTCTGCTCCTGCCCCACAGGTACGTGTGGCTCTGGAAAGGCTGGCCCGTGCCAGTGGACAGTGACAGGCGATACACGCTGTCCAGTGTCGGGGACGCCCTGGAGCTCGATTCCGTGTGGATGGGCGACGCCGGGGAGTTCCAGTGCCTGGTGCAGAACAACGTGAGCGTGGAGACGAGCGACGCCGTGCACCTGCAGGTGACCGGCGAAGGTGAGCGGTGGTGCAGGTGGCGCCGCGTGCATCTCGCAACCATCTCGCACCGGGGGCCACCCCGTGGCCGTCGTTCCTCCTCCGTCGAAGCACTTGCGCGCCGTCGTCACCGCCGCCGCCCAAGCGTGCGTTGAGATTATTATTTTGGCTGCTGATGCTGCTCTTGCTTTGAGATAGATTTCGACTTCCGTCGAGCCATCATTTGTTGGCCAGGTCGCTTCCGAAAAAGAGCTATGACGCTCCAGTGGGCTAAACCTGGTAAATAAAATCGTTTTTTATTTGAGCATCTTGAGCTCGATCGGGCTTCACCATCAGGGCCCCCCTATTGGAGCATAACTCCTCCAGCGTGTGGGAGTGGGGTGGACGTGCCTCCGTACGCCCCTGGTGAACCGTACATGTGCAGGTTTCATGTCAATCCACCGCTGGATGAGGGCCATATCAAACCGTGCAGGGCACGGACCTATTTTGGCCATCGCCAAGCCGGTCAGCGCTGGATGGTGAAGGCGACGAGCGTAGATGTGAGAGAGTGGAAGTTGCGATACAATTGATTGTGCTGCGTCGCCCTCTATTGCCCACAATGTGGCCAAAGGCGTGGTGGTCACCCATCCCAAGTACAATCCAGGCTCAAAATCCATGCCTAACCTACGAGTTCTGAAGAGATTTGACGCCTCGAGGATGGTTTGGTCATGGGGCCGAGCGAGTCGTGCTTGATCCAAACACCACAGAGACCCCGTGTCCAGCCCCAGCTGCCTAGCGCGGTGACTCTCAAATGAAGATAATGAACTTGTTACGAAGAGTCTTCACGCTTCAGATTTACAAATGTTTCACGTTGTAAGGAGTTTGATATGGCTAGTAGATCACGTGGAACATTCCTATACGCGTGACGATGAATTCGTGTGACTCTAGTCAGGTGGTGAAGGGTTTTGACGACACAAGTTTGGCCAGATCATTAAGTGGCCTATCCCCCCTCCCCCCCAAAAAAATCATATATGAAGCAGATCAGGCAGAGTTGGAACCATTAGGTAGGCGAGGCCCACACTTGTTAGGGAATTATGTGGTGCCTCTAGGCGGTGGTACAGCAAGTAGGTTACTGACATGTCTATGCGAGTATTTCAGTTTTCTTCCCTTCAATGTTGCTCAGTTTCTCCCTGGACACGCGTTTCCTCCCACACACAAATCATGCTCACAAGCAACTGGCCACACAAACCAATTGGGAACATCCTGACTGTATTTAGACTGAATAAAATAGTATTAGGTACATAATCACTGTTAATGGAGGCAAATGTTTTTATATATAAACTACCTCTACCAGAGAGGAACTTCAAATATACATTATTTAAGATTAAACTGTTACACAAGCTGCCCAGTTGCCTGTGGAATCACAGAAACCCCGGTGCAAATAGATCAAGTACAGACTTAAAGTATTGGTCATTAAACTGTTCACCTCATAACAGTATTACACAACATTTGATGCGACATCCACTGGGTATACACATCAACAATTAGCATGTCTGATATTAAAAAAAACATTATCAGGAGTAATCTACCAGGTGGGCTTAGTGCAAGACCAAGCAACTTAATATAAAAATCTTAAGTATTTAGCTTCGCTTCAATTTAACTGAGAGTCTGCGCTTGGAAAACACAGCTCAGCGTTTCATTCGATAACAAGAGCAAAGTTGAGATTGTAAGCCAACGCAAAAGACGAACCACATCGTGTCCACACCTTGCCAAACAAACCAGCTTGGCAATTATCGGCGTTAGAAACATCGACACATTTTCACGCAAAAAAAATGTCGTGAAAAGAAACGCGAGGCAACTAAGAGGACCACGGTGCAGTTCTTCAGGAACTGCTTATTGTTATTTTCATTGTGCAGCAATGCCGAGTGATCTTTTTTCACGTTGTCGTGTCGTATGAAACGTCTGGATTTCCGTCCTGCACTAATTTTTCTGTGACAACGAAGGTCGTCTTGTTATTTCCAGGTTTGCGTAGCCAACGCATGAAACGGGCCCAGTCTCACAGCTGTTGTGGACATGCGGTTTCTTGTCCAGACCCTTATCGGCCGTTGCATTACGGTGGCTAGATGTTAACTACCTCGTCTGGTATACAGGAGGTTGTAGGTTCGATCCCGACCCTGACACCTGCTATATATTTGGAGTTGGCATGTGCTCTCTCCCCGTGGTCACGTGGAATTTTCTCCGAATCAATATTCGTTTTAGAGTATTTGGCTGCTATAAATTTCCACATAAGCCGCTTTGTGGCCAGGTCGCTTCGTGAAAAAGAGCTGTATAGCTTCGTGGGCTTTACCTGGTAAACTTTAAAAAAAAGTTTCAGTTAGTTTAGCATCGCTGCTCATAATCCTATCTCAAATCCTACCCAGTGTTCCCTCTAACATGGTAGTGGAACCACCAACAAAACATGGCTACTCCTCAATCCCTGAACCGTGACAATCTTGAACCACTATTATACTATGCACGGTTGGCTCCGAACAGTGGGAAGGAAATTCACCATACGTAAAATACGTTGTCAGCTACCGATATCACTCATGTTTGTTTTTTCTTCTTCTTCTTGTTAGATTCGGAGACCATGAATCAAGTGAAGGTGGTTGTCATCGGCTTGGGAAGCCTGTTCAGCCTTGTCGGTGTAAGCCTTCTTGTTTGCTTCCTTAAACATAAAGTGTAACTCTTCATCATCACCATCACCCGTATCATGTTCACAACCCGTCATTAAATCCATCCCTCCCATCTTTTGAAAAGCATCGTCCTTCATGATCACCGCCATTAACACATTCCTGTGGAGGGAGCTGGTAAGAACGTTGGGTTGCTCGGTCAATGGCCAGGGTCAACGGCGGTGTGGTGTATTCCGCAAATATGCCCGACTGTGAGGGCGGGCACAAGCCGGCGTGAGTAGGTTAAACGTTGAGTTTTATAAGGGCACCACGGGGTGACCAGCCCCTCCCCACCCAGCCCCACCCCTCCCACCCCCCACCCAGCCCCACCCTCGACACCCAGACCCTCCCCACCCAGCCCCTCCCCACCCAGCCCCTCCCCTCCCCACCCAGCCCCTCCCCTCCCCACTCAGCCCCTCCCCTCCCCACCCAGGCCCACCCTCCCCACCCAGCCCCTCCCCACCCTCCCCTCTCCACCCAGCCCCACCCCTCCCATTTTTGGACGGGCGGACACAATAATCCCCTGTGGGCTAGTGTAACCAGGAGGTTCCTACCAGTATCATCACCACCAGCATCGTCAAAAAGTGAAGCCAGTGCTCGCTCGAGCCAAATTGAACATCAAATACAAACTTGAGGAGTTATCCACGCAACTGTGTGACATTCCAAGGTAGTTTTCGACTTATTTAAGTGAAGATACACTCATGACAAGTCACAGCAAGGCCGCAATGCAGTAAATGTTTTATACATGCATCCAATGTATGTTGATGTGCGTAAGTGTACAAATGCCACCCGTTAAGTCTACTTATGTAATTTGATGCACATGTTCGGTCATTCAAAATCATAGGTATCGGTCAAAACCGAAGCCTTTTTTACCACCCCCTTTCAATACGATTCTTAAGCATTATTGTGAACATCACCAGCACTACAAACTCCCGTCATTTCTATATTTATATTCATCACAAATCATCGGACATTATTACAACCACTTTCACAGCCTTCACTATGCATGTCGGGACATCTCCCTCGTGACTGATACACGACTGTGATGTGTTGGAATTATAAAGTTCAGCGGTGGGTGATAACGTTTGCAATTCAAGCCGTGTTGTCGAAAATGCAAAGCCAAAACAAAATAAAGAACCTACAAAGACATGAAACCTCTTCTTGTGTCATGATTTTTCGCGTGTTTTTTGTTGTTGTAGAATAAGGTCAATAATGAGTGTTTTCAATACTCTTTGGTTCTTTCGGTAAAGTCACGTAGGTAGAAAAATAACAGATAACGACGTTTCGATCGCAATGGTCTTGTAGCCCATTCCAGCCTTGTGTAGGTCTACAATCTTGTCCCTGACATCCTTGGAGAGCTCTTTGGTCTTGGCCATGGTGGAGAGTTTGGAATCTGATTGATTGCTTCTGTGGACAGGTGTCTTCTATACAGGTAACAAGCTGAGATTAGGAGCACTCCCTTTAAGAGTGTGCTCCTAATCTCAGCTCGTTACCTGTATAAAAGACACCTGGGAGCCAGAAATCTTTCTGATTGAGAGGGGGTCAAATACTTATTTCCCTCATCAAAATGCAAATCAATTTATAACATTTTTGACATGCGTTTTTTTGGATTTTGTTGTTATTCTGTCTCTCACTGTTCAAATAAACCTACCATTAAAATTATAGACTGATCATTTCTTTGTCAGTGGGCAAACGTACAAAATCAGCAGGGGATCAAATACTTTCTTCCCTCACTGTATGTATTCCTGCAGTCACGAAAGCTTCAAATCAGTGTTTTCACTCTTACCAAGTCCACGATTAGAATGAGTGGCATAGTAGTGTTATTGGCATGGACCCCTGGTGCAAGGAATTAAATTGGGCTCCCTGTATAATTTCCACCCTCTTCGTAGCCTGGTGCCTAATACTCTCTTAACTAAAAAGCTATTTTTTTATTTACCAAGTGTCGTCACAGAGCTATATAACTATTTTCCAAAGCGACCTGGCCACAAATGATAGCTCAACTTAGTGAAAATGTATAGCAGCCAAATACTCCAAATGTGTGTTGATTCTAAATGTGGGGGGGAAAACCGGGGGACCCGGAGAAAAAACCCACACGACCACGGGGAGAACATGCAAACTATACAGCAGGCGTCTGGGTGTGGATCGAACCCACGACCTCCTGTATACCAGGCCAGGGAGTTAACGTCTCACCACCTGCACACTCAATAGCGATGCCACTGCTAGAGATAAAACATGTTATAAATTGCCAAGGATAACACAGAACAGTTTTCTTATCATAGCACACAATTGCAGATATGAAAGACAGTCCTTTTTCTCTTGTATGAAATGTAAACTGAATGGTTGCCTGTTAGAGAGACTTTTGTTTTCTGTATTCTATAATTTTTTTTAACTTGCTCTAACATAAACATATTACTTTCCAACATGAAGCAAATGCATCATACACACTTGAAAGACTTGCGGTATTGTTATTATGCATCTCTCACACCTGGGATATGCGAATTCTAAAACACGACTGCTGCGTGCGAGTCCTTCAACAGCTTTATTACAGCAATCATTTGCACTTCCAGTTGTAATTACACTCAATACCAACACATCAGCATTTCAACCTGCTCTTACAGATAATCGACCCTCACTTAAAAACCATGCAAATCTTAAAGAGAGAAAAAAACCTCAAAGTGCTTCATGATTTGAAAAACTACATCTTTTATACTACGCTGCAACAAATGTGGTCCTGTTTGCAATTATTTTAAATCTTGAATGTGCACAAAAACAGGAAGCAAATGACATCACTTCCATAAGTGCAAAACGAAATAGAAATATTAACCTGCACGTGTATGTATATGGAACAGATAAATTAGACTTGCATTCATTCTGGTTATCCCAACATTTCCATTATTAAACATGCGGATAAAGTGGTGCGTATTCAGCATGCGTCAACCATGGAATTGACGCCACTGGACACTGGCACAACTGAGTGCGGTGCCTGTGTCCGCGCCAGCCGTCTGGAACGCGCTAGGCTGGGGGCTACTGCCGATGAGTGGATAGTCCACCGCAGCTCTTACTTAGTTTCAAGAAGCATTTAAAAACACTGATATTTAGACGTGCTTTTGGAAGTGTAAAGCTACAGAAGTACAATAATTTGCATCCCAATAACCCACGAATGGTAATAATGTGTGGACTACTGTATTGGTGGTTCGCCACTGCTCCCTTTATCTGCGGCAGATTTAAAAAGCTTCACGGACCGAAAAGTCATAATCTGTCGAAGTGGGCAAGGATAACGAGTGAATGGAAAAAAAAACAACTTTTTTGCAAATAATGTTTTATTTACACCACGTAAGATTAGGTGTTCTGATGTGACTTTTTAGTCGATTAAAAGAGATTTTCCCTTTAAAAAAAATCTCAAAATGAAAAAAAAAACACTTTAAAATAGACGCAAAAAACTGTTTTGAACCATTTTGCTCTTTGAAAAACATTGTAATCTGCAAATGTATCGTGCATTCAGCAGCTAATCACGTGCCACTCTTCCTCTACAATCGCAGATTAATGGGATCGCAAGGCCAATTCCTCCCATAATCCACGGCACACCACGCCGGCACTGCATATTTTGTATCAACCCATACAGTGCACCGCAGATTCCTTGATGGGGGATATGGGTCCCCCCCCCATATCAATGTGGACAAACCAGCAGGCTCCTCAATCTTTGAAATTAGATTCAGATTATTACAATTATGAGTGTGTGGCAATGAGCTCTTGACAGTAAAATGCTAGGTGCATGCGCTTGTGTTAGTGAATGTGTGTTTGCAGCATATGATCAGGAAATAAATGACAATGTTTAATTTATCATTGGAAGCATTTTTCTTCCAATACCATATTCAATATACTTATATACATAAACATTCCTCTTCAATTCTTAGCATTAGACAACAACCTACTCTACAACAGATCAATGTGCAGTCAATTACACGCATGTCCACTTCCATTTAGTCTATACCAATATTGTCCTCTAATAGTTTCCTAGGCGTAAAATGAAAAATACAATGGAGAAATATTCATGTGTGCATACACAAATCACACACATGTACGATATGGAAGTATGGTATGTACAATGTTCTAGTATAAATTATGTACATTATGGACTCCTAAGACCATGCAATTAAGGTGAGAGATGATATTTATTCCCATGTTTTAAAGCAGCCAAATTAATAAACTAAGAACGGAAATAAAATTAATTCAAGAAATTTCAAATCAGGATCTGCAACATTCACGGCCGCTCCATCTGAATTAGATAGTCCATCATTCACTCAAACACACAAATATAAAAATTAGTCTAGTGAATGGCAACAAATGAAAATTCGACAAAAATAAAGTCCTACTTCTAACAAACTCGGGTTACATTCACATAGTAAAATAAATACAAAAGTGAACTTCAGCGAGTCTAACATGAAATAGGGCCTTATAAATGCAATGCTAAATGTAGCGTGCTCATGAAACTCAGTCTAACAACCGCAATGAACTGGATTCCAATGTAGTGGGACCTGTACTGGGTACAGATACCAAATTTCACTTAGCCCCAGCGCACCACTCACCACCATGCTCAGCCCTCAAAAGCAAGCCATTGGTATGCATGTTGAACTTCTTTAACGCAACTAAACACAAAAGCAGTTCGAAAGAAATGAGTGAGTCTATGTGTCTATGCGAGTCTATGCGTCTCTGTGCGAGTCTATGTATGAACTCCTTTCGCACCGTACGTTAGTAGTGCTAATCGCAGGTGCGGGGAAAGGACAACTAAACACAAAGAGCAGTTATAAAGAAATGATAAGAGCCACTTGCGAGTTCCTTCACACGCTACGTTGGCTTCCCACACCCGCATATTCCACACTCCAACCGTGGCACGCGCTCACCGTCAGAAGTTGCCTTCGGAGTCCAATTAAGCCAAGGACCCACACGCACTCGTGTCAAAGCGGAATCGTGTGTACTACACCTACTAAGGCAGAGGAAATACAGTGACAACACATCGTTGAAACGTAAAAAAAAGTAGATTTCTGAATGTCTTAAATAATAATCAGCTATTGTGGAATTTATTTAGAAGAACAGATAGAGGTATATGGGAGCTGTCAAAAGTTGCAAAAGCCTCGTGACTGTGTCAAACAGTAGCAAAGAAACCAAATAAAAAAGGTCACGGGGGGAAAGAAAATTGGGGTGCATTTGTGTAGGCATCTATTGGTATGCTGGTGCTTTCCAACAACAAACTACCCAAAAACATGTTTAACATAAATAAAAATTAGTACTACAGTCCAAAGCAAGACTGAAGAGGCTGCTGTGTTTTTAAATGAGAAATATAAATGAATAATGGCACTTTTGCTTAATAAAATCAACAATTTGAGTCTCAATTCCAGATATTTTAACGTGCTTGTAGCCCTGCTGTATGCAAGGTCGTTTTCAAAGTTACTCCATACTTTTTGTTGCGCGTTGCTACTTTACAAACCAGGATTATTTCCCACATCGACGAGACTCATTAACTTTTGGATCACTTAGGTTACACTGGCAATGCTTCGTCTAGCCCGTTAAAAGCCCTCACGATGAAACATATGTCGCTTCGTTTTTTTAATGTTTAAGAATTTCAACAGACTTGTAAAACAATGTATTGAGCGGCGCTGTCACACACGGTGCCTCAATATAAAGCAGACGATCGCCTACAGATATAGCCTGCATGTGTTCAATGTTGATTTTGCAGATTTACACGCTCGAAAGCTTCTACACGGTGACATGCAGTATAAGTGGAAAAATTTTACTTGGCTCGATGCCGATTCACTTTTCCAATTGTACGCTGCATTAGATTACACTTTAGAAGACAATAAACTTTCCCTTGTTGCACTTGCAGCAAGGCATGTGTAAAGCTAGCTTCAGGAACTTAAACGTATAGCCATCTAAATATGTTACGTAGAATATTAAATTAAATTAAATGTTTTAGCAAATACATTTAATTATAATAATTTACAGCTCTTACTCAATCCAGTGCTGGGTGACAGCACTTCCGTACTCCGTCGGTCATGGGGGTTGCTTGGCAATGCTGCACGACGCTGGTCAATGCAGAGGATGAAGGAAGGTGGAAAGTTAGTCGGGACCGGTTCACATATCACTCACCAAATATGTGAGTCATGTCCAGGGATCGGATCGCTGGGTTCAAGCCACCAATGGACCACCAAGCTACCCGTGTTAGCAATTCATTATTATTGATAAATGCCTCGTGTCATACATTGCTATCTACACCCCCATTATTTAACATTCTGAACTCATCAAAACGGCTTTGTTTTTAACACAATTGCAAACAGGGGCAGTTGTCTGGAATGCAAGGTGATGTGCTGCATTATATAACCTCGCGGTCAGCGTTAGCCAAGGAAGATGCTGCTTATAAATTCTTCAACCCGTGATGTGAGCGCCAAGCATTGTCGAGGAAAGTAAAAGGCTGCCTGGTACGGTGTGCTGTTAATTGACATTGACACTCAAGCTATGGGTTGAATGGGTCACCCCTGCTGATAAAGCTTCACATTGTAGGTCAAGCAGTATCGTGGTTAGTTGCTAAGTCACACTTGGTAAATGTTATATTTGCTATAGTCACGGTCTGGCTTATTCCGGTTTGCTTTATAAATGTACATTGGATACACAGCAGGGGTAGGAGGGGGTTAACTGGTCCCGCTTGGCTGCTGTTCCTCCTGCTGCTGTTCCTGCTGCTGCTGTTGCTGTTGCCTCCGCTGCTGCAGCCACTCCTGAATCCGGTCCTGGAGCTCCGTGTCGGGTTTCACCTGCTCCATAGTCAGGGGGCTGCGATTGAATGGGTCCGTGTGGTCACTGCGGGATGGTGTGGAATGGGAGGGCCAGGGTTAAGAGAAGGTTAATTTAACATTAACAAGCCAGGAAAACCTAGCATCCAGCCCTCTCTGGATGCTGGGATCAAAAACCAGGCAAAACCAGAAAACCCAAAGCATTTGCAGTTTTTGCTCCTTAAGGCACCAGAATGTTTGCAACGCCATTTATTTACTTTAATGCTAATTTTGAACTCCATAGCATGGCTGTTTCCAGATCACATGAAGTTCAGTGGCTGTAACAAAAGTTGGCATAGGGTTCCAGGTGTCTAATTGAGCAACTGAGTTTTTGACCTTGAAAATTATGAGGTGTTCAACTGTACAGTGCATGCTATACAACAAAACTACTCACGGTGCCTTTGCAGCTTCACTGCAGAGCAATAAAGCATTTTTTTAAAAGCCTTGTAGGATAGCAGATGTTGCAATGAGGCTTATGTTCTTTAGTTTTAAACAAATACGGGCGACGGCAGACTGGGCATAACCATAGCGGCGATGATACAATAGGGTGCTCCCTTTACGCAGAGTTGACCTTGGAAAAGTTCTCAAGTGAAAGCTGCGATCCAACCTGTGTTCCGACCCATATGCTCTCCTGTTCTCTCGATAACGAATGCTTGAAAATCAGCCAATGCTGTGTACTTTTTAGGATGCCATGTAACATTATATTCATTTCAGGAATGTTTACCCAAAGTGTTTTGTTGATTGTAAAATAATAATATAAAGGTAATACAGTGCCCTCTACAATGAGTCATCCCAAAGCAAAATATTATATAACGGAGTTAGCTAAGCATCACCATCCAGTGGGGCTAATTAAAGAGCATAATTTTCGTATTATTGTAAGTATAACCCTGCTTAGCCACTTAGTTGGTAAGTAAAAAGTAATCACTAGCCCGCACTAGCTAGCCCACACTAGCCAGACTGGACTAGCCAGGCTGCACAAGCTAGCCCGCACTAGCCAGGCCGCACTAACTAGCCCGCACTAACTAGCACGCACTAGCCAGGCCGCACTAACTAGCCCGCACTGGCCAGGCTGCACTAGCCCGCACTAGCTAGCCCGCACTAACTAGCCCACACTAGCCAGGCTGCACTAGCCAGGCTGGACTAGCCAGGCTGCACTAACTAGCCCGCACTGGCCAGGCTGCACTAGCCCGCACTAGCCAGGCTGCACTAGCTAGCCCGCACTAGCTAGCCCGCACTAACTAGCCCACACTAACTAGCCCACACTAGCCAGGCTGCACTAGCTAGCCCGCACTAGCTAGCCCGCACTAGCCAGGCTGCACTAACTAGCCCGCACTAACTAGCACGCACTAGCCAGGCTGCACTAACTAGCCCGCACTAGCCAGGCTGCACTAGCTAGCCCGCACTAGCTAGCCCGCACTAGCCAGGCTGCACTAGCCCGCACTAGCCAGGCTGCACTAGCCCGCAGTAGCCTGCACTAGCCAGGCCGCACTAGCCAGGCTGCACTAGCTAGCCCGCACTAACTAGCACGCACTAGCTAGCACGCACTAGTTAGCACGCACTAGCTAGCACGCACTACCTAGCACGCACTAGCTAGCACGCACTAGCCAGGCTGCACTAGCCCGCACTAGCCAGGCCGCACTAGCTAGCCTGCACTAACTAGCACGCACTAGCTAGCACGCACTAGTTAGCACGCACTAGCTAGCACGCACTAGCTAGCCCGCACAAGCCAGGCTGCACTAGCTAGCCCACACTAGCTAGCCCGCACTAACTAGCCAGGCTGCACTAACCACCGACTCCATGCTGTGTTGGCTGTGAAGAGGTCTTCAACAGGCAGTGGTTTGACAAAGGCTGTAAAAATTTATTACAGGGCTATATACAATCCAAAAGTATAAAGAGTGTAAGACTTGTACTCACAAAATGGAAACTACAGTGGTAAACTGCAATATTTACAAATGATAAAATAAAACAGAAAATAAGCATTTTACCATAATGTCCAATGAAAACTCAAACAGTCCTTCAGGAGTTCCATAGCTTAGATCTACAAAAAAAAAAATCGCTTCATGCCAGAAACCATAGTTTAACTTGGTGGACGAGTTCGCCACCTTACAAAAAAGCCCATGTATAACACAAACATAATAACCGGCGCTCACACCGTGTAATGTGGGACATCAAGGTCAAAGTATAACCCACGAGCCTCCGACACAGGCATGGGTTGGGTTGCGTTGCGTGCAGGACGCGCGCACCTGAGCAGGTGCCGTGCGATGGTGCAACGATCCAGGGTAACTCGCGATGACGGCAGCACGACGGGGTCCTGCATAAGTGTGCTCATGATGGGGTCCAGGAATTCGTCGGGCGCGTCTGCGTACGTCTCCTCCTCCTGCTGGTGCTGGTCAGCCAGAGACTGCGCGGGCACATGGTCGTCCTCAGCCACAGCTACGGTAATCAGGCAGTACCAACTACACAGCCCCGGGTTGAGAGGTCGATGGTTAACGTATGTGAAGAAGACAATTGCCTGCGTTACGATCGAAACGTCGTGATATTTTTATTATTTTTTTCTATCTAGGTGGCTTTACCGAAGAACCCAAAGAGTATGTGAAGAGCTTGCAATTCCTCTCAGCACAAGTTGACCCGGCTGAAATGGGTCCAACTCCCTACAATTGTTCATCTTTTGACTTCTTCTTGCCCATCAGTGTCCCATTTGCCTAAGGAGGCGGCGCATCAGTAGGGTACCCTACGAGCCGTGTTCTACGTGTCCACATCATGCTACGTTCCCCCTGGCTCACTAATCCCAGAATCAGTCTTTGGGATCCGATTATTTGTAACACTTCTTTGTTAAAAAAAAAATTCTTGTTCATACCATTCCAACTAGACAAACACCACCTGACATTAAATATTCAACACTACCTAGTGACCAATGTCACATAACACCTGATGACTGTCATTATAAACCATCAGACAACCAATATTTAACACTATCAGTCAACTTATATCCAACAGAAAACATTACCTGATATCTGACTATAAACACAACCCGACAATACACATTGAACCCCAATTTACGACGAATATTAAACGCTATTGGACAATCGCTGTTTAGCAAAAACCAAAAACCCCTCCAGATGAGTAACCTGTTTATTGCACTACCATATACTGGCCATCTTGTATCTCTGAATATTGGAAGTCTCATACATATCATGAACTCTGTTGGATTCACGAAGCCATACCCACCACAGCCTTTAGCAATGCATATCACTGTTTTTCCCCATCAATGCTTAACTTCCAGTATGAGAGTGCCAATGCATTCGCATAGCACCGGGGATGGGCCATCGAAGTGGAAATTTATTGCACGGGATAACAGCCGGTTTTATAGAACACTGGGTTATTACCGCCACAATGTAAATGACATTTAGAGGTAGCTTGGCAATGTAGTCAACACATGGATTAAATTAAACAACAGGGCGAGACATGGAACTGCTCGATAAAACAACAAAACTGCACTTTAATATATAACACCAGCAGGTTTAAGCATCTCGTTTACTGTGCGATTCTTCTGATGTCTTACAATGCTTCATGGGGGCTCACAAGTAGAACCGTCTCAAATACATTTTAAAATGTCCAAGTATGTTTACGCTTGTCCTTTATATCATCGTTACCCAGAACTGCATTTAAAACTAGGCGAGAACCCACGAAGACAAAAGTCTCTTTTCGCAGGGGAAAATGTGGGGTGCAAATTAAGTACAGTTCAAAATAACTCAGTGAGAAACTCAAGCAATAAGACAAAGATACAAAAATCGACAAGAGCAAAACATTTTTTTCAAAATTATGTGAATCATATTTTCTCCAAAAGCCAACTGTGAGACATGCGAGAACTCTCCGTTGCGTTGCCATAATAACTGTAAGCCTATATAGGCCCCACCGTACCTTGACCTTGTCGGCGAGGTTAACGAACGCGGTGATCATGTCGCTGGGCTTGTTGATGCGGGTGAGCACGCGCACCGTCTGCGCAAATAGCGTGGGCGAGTAGGAGCGCCCATCCCTCGGCACGGCCGCACAGAACGCTTCCTTCTCCCTGCGAATGTCACAAGCGAACACAAACGATACATATTCACCGCTGCCCCAAGTGTCTAGAGTTCACTCCTCTCTGGCCATCCACAACTGCTGACACACCTCCCGTTTAGGGTCAAGACATCTCTCTTCTCCTCTGCCCATGACTGACCTGTCTCTCTATGAAGTATCTTCTTGCCCTGTCTCATAATCCTTCCACACAATTAAAAACAACCTCAACTCCTCTGTTTCTCTTTCTTCCAAAAGATACACATCCCCAACTGTACAGCACCTCATTGTGCATTTGCATTCCTATAAGCCCAATTGTATTCCATTCCAATTGTACTGTATTATTGTGCAATATGTGGGCAGGGTGCACTGTGTGCTCTGTTGCTGGGCATTCATACATTTCACGTGCGAGCATGGTTCTCGGGTCCACTGTGCTGTCAGAGCAGATTGACTCAGACAAGACATTAAACTGAGGCCCTGAGATTCTCAAACAAGACAAGAAACTGAGGTCCTAATACACTTCTTCAGAGAGAATAGGATTTCAAATATAGAATCAGTGAGCCAAAAAGTATTCTTTCCCTTTGATGGCTCGACATAGGTGGTGAGATGTTAACTCTCTCGCCTGGTATGCAGGAGGTTGTGGGTTCGATCCCAACCCCGACGCCTATATATTTGGAGTTTGCATGTTCTTCCAATGGTCGCGTGGATTTTTCTCCAGGTCCTCCGGTTTTTCCCTCCACATTTAGAATCAACATGAGTTTAGAGTATTTGGCTGCTATAAATTTCCACATGATACGCCACTTCTTTGAGCTGTCATTTGTGACCAGGTCACTTCTGAAAAATATCTATATAGCTAAGTGGGCCTTACCTGATAAAATACAAAATAATTTAGTTTATAGTTTGGTTTAGTTGTAAATGAGATCAATGCTTATAAATCAATGTCGCAAACAACATAAATTTTTCAAACAAGATCATTACAATGAAACATTGGTTGATGAAGTAAATATTAATATGAATCTTTACTCAACAAGGGCACCACATTCTGTGCCTGAGACAAATGGAATTCCTTCAAGCCAAGTTTCTACAGGACAACAGTTAATATGAATGATCGATTATAGACGATAAAGGGCCAATTCATTGTTAATCTAAACGGACCTATGTCAAACTATAGCTCTGGTGACAAAACGCCTTACGAACGGGGTTGATATATTTTCACATACTAATTCACAAGCATTTGTAGGTGAACAGGGTGGGTAAATCATTGGCCTGCCACCATACAGCCGCGAAAACGCCACTGACCCCAGATTCAGGTAGATGGTGCAGATGTCGGAGACCAGCTGGTGCGGCCGGAAGTCAAACTCGCTGAAGTCCTTGACCTTCAGGGCACCCATGCGCGGGCCGGCGAGGTGCTGCAGGAAGTGATTGAGCATAGCGATGACGCGGTCACAAAGCACCGGGTTCACAAACAGGGCCTTGATGTCTGTATGGGCAAGAGGGGGACGTACACAGACAAGGGCAGACAGGAGCGGCAGCTTGCACCGTGACCAAGATAGTGCATACATCTAACCAGCATTACATTCTTCAGTGAAGTGACAATTGGAAGGAACCAGCCTCTCCATAGGACAACTGTTGTTGGTTTGAAGTGGCAGCTATTGGCAGGCTTAGCCAACCATTGATAGAGATCAGAACTCACAATGCTATGATTGCGAGTCAAGCGCTTTGCCAGTTACACCTGGCTGAATTACAATTAACAGAACAAAATTATAAAATACAAATTAATTCAGAAAACGATCATTCGTAAAACAAAAAATACTTGCAAATTATATCATGCCCAGCCCAGAAATGATGCCCAACTGGCATTTATATACAAGGGTCTCATAGAGATATATAAGCAACTAATCTATACAAATGTATCGAGAACTCCTTGTTGTAGATCGCTCCAACAAATTCAAGTGCCTGATTGTGATTTGAAAGTATTTTGATCTCAATAACATGGCTTAAAATGTATGTCACAAACTGGCACACGCAGCCTTGGTAAGTATCTACAAGAGCTGTTTAATTTTGAGTATTTTTACGAGTTGTATCCTTTAAATTATTGTTCCCAAAACACCATGGTGCCGATGACATTACCAGAGCATGCGATGCCACAGGGTTCAGAATGAGCCCACAAGTGGAACATGCTCAATGGCAGGAGACCATTGGCTAGATCCATGCATTAGATGCAGTGGTCTGTGTCTGTCCAGGCTGAGTTACCTACTGTTCCTGCCTTCAATAACTTTATCAACCAAGCAACATTTGATTACCAGGTCACAACTCTGGTTCTGGGAATCAACAAATCAGAAATAGCCAAGCGTGCCTGTTTGTGAAAGTGCTTCTGTAACATGGAGAGTCAATAACCAGATTAGCCACATTTTTAAATTTAATTTTACATGGTGAACCAGACTCTTGCCTCTTTATTTATTTATTTGTTATACTACAGAGTGAAATCTGGGATTGAGAGGTGGCTGATTAGTTAGCACACATGAACCCGTCAATATGAGTCCAATTTCCACCCACAATGGACATTAGTGATCTCTCAACTGGTCCTGGGTGTGAACCCACAACATTTACAATTTGAGTACAGTGATGTTTCGCCGGTAATTACAACCAGCCTCATTAGGCGACATCCAGATTTGTGGAGAAATCGTCCATTTTTGGTCTTAACAACACATTCATTCATATATTTACGCGATCTAACAAAAAAACGTCTATGGATAATATTGGTCGCAAAAGCCTACGTGTTAAAGTAGTAAAATATGATCAAACACACCCCCTCCCCACACCATGACTGGCAAAGCTTCGGTGAGGCCTTCATCCAGCCATACAAGAATGGCTGGACAGATGACAAGACAGGTGGACGTGGTACCCTGCGTGAGGAATGCGAGCGTGCGGATCGTCTCGTTGGACATGATGTTGTGGAACCGCGCCAGCTGCCCAAACATGTTGAGGCTGTTCTCCCGCTCGCGTCTCGCTGCGGGCTCATCGCCATCCCACTCGCCGCGCTCTCTCTCCAGCTGCAGCACCTTGATGCGGCTCAGATACTGCATTGCCACGCGTACAACACAGGGCCAAGCAGTTTTAATTACATGCTTTTGCCGAGAATCGGCCGAGAGGAAAATATCGCGAAGCATCACGACAGACGGTGGGACACATCGTGAACTCACGTCCACTGCGAACGTTCTCCCAGGGAACAATTTACCACTGAATTTACAACTTAGACGTCGATTTATACGTGGAGATAACTAAGCACTGCCGCTTTCCTTAAAACCAAGGGGAAATCGAAGAAATATACACTTTATTTTCAAATGGGACATGAGTATAATCATGTCAGAGATTTAGACAAAAAATCATAAGGAGAAATAATCGTAGGTAAAGCACAATTAACATGTGTATGAGGGAGGAGTGGAGGCAGTTTTCAAGGCACTCAGCTACAAACCCAGTGACCTAAGTTCCATTCCCATACACGGCCAACATCAGTGGTGAAAATGTGAGTCGGTCCTGGGCCTCCCCTAGCTCGACTCGGCATTCAACGTGAACCTGGTAGAGTTTGTAAACATCTGCACTCGGGAGAAAAAGGCAACCAGGCATCCTAGCATGGGCTGTACCAGCATCAATAGGTCTTTGCTAATAGCGCTCGAAACAATTATAGACTATAAAGGGGATGTTTGCTTTTGTGTGCATTTGTGTTTTTTGGAGTGTTGGTCGTACCTGTATGGCCTCATCCAGTAGAAATATGGCATCGTTGAGCAGCAAGTTAAGGAATCGCAGGAAAAGGGGTGCATTTGTGGCATCGATGTTCTGCAATGCCTGATTTGCCATATCCTGCACACACACACGGAACGCGTTCATACTGAAGGTGACAGAAATACAAGCTGGCATTTTTTTTACGCGATAACTTAATGCAGCCTTTTGGGAATTACAATTGCGTAACAAGTGAGCACAGGGCAAGGCCAATTATAGTGACGAGATTGTAAGTAGATTAATAATAATAATAATACTCGTAAATTATATTATTTTTCGGCCCGGGATAATCAGGGTAACGCTCAGCTGCAGCACGGCTTTGTTTTTGTCGGGAGATTTGTACTGACCTTGATGCTGGCCCGGTAATCATCCTGACCCCACATGTACCGCAGAATTGGGTACATCGGTCGCCGGTAGTTAAACTTCTGCTCAAAATGGTGCGGGTCGCCTGTTTATACAGCGCACACACACAAAAAAAACAAGACATTCTGTAACCATGTAAAAATGTTAGAAACAAGTGTTTGTGTGTTGTTCATCAGTTTTGCGTTTTCTGACCGGAGTGGTCTTCCCATTCATAATAACTCTCCTGTTCTTTCACCTGCTATTACACATTATGGGCTGCACTCTTCTACCTTGAGTTTCTCAAAGCAACTTGAATTCTGCCGGGCGTCGTGGCATCCACCTGTAACCTAGAACTTTGGAGTCAAGGGTCGGTGGATCGTGGAGATTTTAAAATTCCCACATCGAGGTGGGCTTCAAGATGGCCTAGGACATGGTAGTACAGAAAATAGGTTAATGAACACATCTGTGTGGATCTTTGGGAGGAATCCCCTCATAACCAGCATTTGTTTTTACGTCTATCCCAAGTGGTTAATTTTTCAATAAAAATGCAAAACACTCACAAGAAGAAATTAATCTAACATCCCAATAAAAGACCGACTCTCCGGAGAAAGTTTCCAGACTCTGGGAGGCTTTCCTGGATAAACACAGGTTAACAGACGAACGTGCCCATCACACCCTTGCCTCTGTCTACATTCCGCTTGTCTCCCGCTTTGAGGCAGTGAGATGGCCCAGCAGTTGCACATTCGCCATTTGAACCTTATGGCGGGACCCCGGGATCCCGAATGAATGGAAGTCAAAATCGTAATTAAATTACTTATTTTTGGCGACTCCGTCCCACCGCGCATATAAGCGCCGCGACCCACCTGGTGCGGATCATTCTGTTGTCGTGTCGTCCAAGCGCAGCGAGGTCGAATGCGCAGAAGAGCTGAACAAGCGAATGCACTCAATGCTCGGGTATGGGCAGGATCAAAATTCTTATCCAAAGCCGCTCAAACTAGCCCACACGACTTAAGTCCTTTATTTGTCATAACGGTATGCCTAATACAGTGAAACCGCTCTCTTATCTGCATTATTATTTGTGACCTACCAATGTCTGCAGCCAGGATCAATCGATGACAATCCTATTACCTGCAGATATTTAACAGATGAGATGTGCTGCACCGTTAATTCCTCCTGTTTGATAATACTTCTCTTGTCCGTATGCATCTGTGCAGATAGTTTTTTTTTGCGGTTAAGCCATAGTCCCCACATACTGCTCGTATCAATGCGGATAAGAGGAGCGGTGACCCACTACTCTGTAGAGTAACATTGGTATAAACGCTTGTTACAATATGAACAGCGCATTGAAAATACGTACTATTTTATGTACTGTTTACAAAGTGTGTTCCCAAATCCACATTGAGACACACGATCATTGAGAGGGGTAAAAATTATTTTTTCGATAGTGTATTTAAAATAGAGGTACTGCAGGTAAGTAGTTTTCAGTTTTAAAGGCATAGTTTAACAAGACAACACTTGCCACCATCCTCCAAACCCATTGGTTCAAAATTTGAATGAACAGCAATTAATCAAATGAGATGACTCATAAATTGCCCTCGCCTCCCGCAAAACTACTTTATCTCTGAAACAAAGCCTTGCGTGCTCTGAGAAAGACACGAAGAACAAATGTATTACATAAAACGTATTCTTAGGGGAGGAACCTCGCAGGCCCTGTGTCACTCACCGGTGAACTCGATGTCGACGAAGACGTTGAGAAGGGCGCAAGCGAGCTGGGCCGCGTGCGGATAAGTGGTGAAGGCCTGCTCGCGCCGCAGCGTGGGCACGGGAGGACCGGAGGGAGGCGTCGCCTCCTCAACGCGTGGCATCACGGCCTCCAGCACCTCGGCCAGGCGTGCCCGCAGGTGGGGGTTCCGCATACTGCGCATGCGGTGGTGCCACCAGGAGGCAGAGCATAATGAGCACAAAACGGCAGCGGTGAGAGGCATGGTGGAGCAGGTTTTTTGTTTACTTTTTTACCAAATTTTATCCGGATTCTGCTCTCGGCGTCACGTCATGAGACACAGTATCTGCTCAGATCTCTTGCAGGGACATGTGGCTACATACCGATGAGTGCTGCCCATGAAGAGGGTGATAAGCTTGAGGAAGTCCTGCAGGGAGTCCCCAGTCTCCTCCAGCGTCGCTTCAGAAAACCTCCGCAGGAAGATGAGCAGGTCGGCCAGGTTGTCCACCAAGAACTCTGCAGCGCAAACCATCAAGCATGCATATGGTATATATATATGGGAACACACAGGCATCTATGCACAACATACAAATGAAGAGGCACATACACAGAGAGAAACAAAAATTAATCACTACATCAATATTGTCAGCCACCTCAATTACTGACAATTAATTTGTGGAAATAACGGCACTGCCAAATTAACGCAATGTGAAATCCAGTTAAAAGTATAATACAAATTGCTTATGAATATAGGTGGTAAATACGATTATAGTAATGTTATTGTATGGTTCTCATGATTTTTAAGACACACCGGAAGAATAACTTTGTGCACTTGCTATTTTTCTTATTGTTATTGCTTAGCCACCATCACTACCACCTGGACAGATCACACTTTATACACACCTCACTATACGAGATGGGCATAAAGGTATTTTTTTCTATTTTATCTAGACGATCGGAAATGCTTCGTGGAAATGCGAGAAATATTCACTATGCACTACAGAGTCTTACCACTAGATGTCAGACACGTCCCATCTAACAAAATGGCATTCTTATAAGATGAAGAAACATGTGTACTGTAGTTATATGAGCGTTCCGAAGAACGTTTAGCAAAAAATCACTGAGACCAAATTATATTTTGTGCTAGTATCATATTTTTTTTAAATATGAGACATATTGACATGGAATCACACATTAAGCAGGCACAACACCACTTCCAGAGAAACTGCAGAACAGGTGAAAGCAGTCGTGAAATGTGGTCAATTAAAAATGCTTTGCAGGAAATGGTTATTCCAATATTTCTCAAAGTGCAGCTCATGAATCGTGTATAACGATCTCAGAACATTCCTGTATATCTGTATTATACGCCACAAGTAACAATCACTCTGAGAAATGTATTATGAAAAGACACATTCAAAACAATCACAATCAAGATGTTGGCAAAAAACACCCATATCTCAATATGATGTTTCATAAACACCATGGCGAACAAGTGGAGGTTTAGGTGAATGAAACTCACGTAATTAAATATTCATACTACCAAGTATGTGTGCATGTGAATACAGTTTTACCAACTCATTTAAAACTGGTGCGCTTAATTCAATAATAATAGATGATACCTTTTATGGACACCCTGTACAAAACAGCTGGACGGAGGGACCAACTGACATTAGAGATGGTCGTAATTATAGTGAAACATTTGTGAAAAAAAGCTTGAGAGCCCATCGGATTCCTCCAGTCTAAATAAAGATTCTGATTCTGATGTGCAGTCCCTGCAGCATACCCGGTGTGTATTTGAGGAGGCTGCCCACCAATCCGGCACTGCCCTCCCCATCGTCCTCGTCGGCAAACTGCACTTGGCGGTATTCGGCCGGTCGCCCCTCTCCCAGTGCGTACTGCACACAGAGCTCGGCTGTGGCGGCCTGAATGGCGAGGAAGTGGCCAAGTGCCTGTGGCTCAGTGAGGGCTGCCTGCAGACAGAAAACACAAGGATGAGGGGGGAAAATACTAATAAAAAATATACATTTTAGCATCTAAGCATGTAAAAATTCACTCCCCAAAGGTGATTGGATAAAGTCTCACGATTCGGAATTGTTATTTGTCTCGGTAATGATCTGTTTTTCATGCCATCAGTCTAAATGTAACATATGACTTGGATGTAATTCGCATACATCAAGAATATTTGATTCTCTATATTTACAGTTCGATGCATCTATCATAATAATCGATTTTAATCAATGAACAGACACCTTCCATGCATATTGACAACAATAGCCTTTGGGGGAAACTATATGGTATAGGGTAAGAACAGCTGCAGAAAAAGTTATTGAGGTAACAAGTTTTAAGAGGTATGATCACACTAAGTGAATGAAGGAAAATGTATTTCTAAAATGCTATTTTGAGTTGGGGACAGATAGAGAAGACCATGAGGCAGGCCAATGAGGTGGCCAAAATAAGTAATTGAGGCCTTGAAAAATAAAGGACGAGAGTGTGCCGGAGACAAACAGAGGATCAGAAGACAGGACCACACAGGGACGTGGCCCCGCAGACCGATTACGGTGATGATGATGAACACTGTCAAGAGTACAACACGCTCAGGTTCCACCTGCGTTAGGAAATGTGTTGGGATGCCATGCCTTTAAACTCAGGTAGGCTGAGGTGGCGTGCTCAAACCGCTCCTGCAGCCCAGCAGCGGCCGGTGACCCAACCGTCGTGGCGTCCTGCCAGGCGGCGCGGAGCTGATGCAGAGCCCGATTCAGATTGACCAGCTCACCGTGCAGCCTGCCGCAAGAGGCACATCCAGTATTTACCCGCAAGTTTCTCTTTCTGCTTTCCAGTAGTGTTTTGTATGTACTCCTCGTGTTACCTACGTAAATATTCAACAAAGTCATTCAAATTACAAGGAACTGAAAGGGAGAATTAAAGTCAACGTTGTGAGAGGTGGCTAGATTGATTAGGGGGCTAATGTCATGGCAGAGCACTGAGCTGGCACTGATGACACTTGGGTTTGAATCCAAGTAACCGCCTCTAATTAAACCGGTGAACAATGGTTGCCAAATATACCACTATATGACGTTTTTCACTTAGTTGAACATATTTCATTTCTGAGGACTAAAAAATTGATTGCTTCAATTGCTATGCAAAGAAGACTCATTGGAGCACAAATTAAAGGTAGGATAAGAGGCAATTGAAGAATTTGATCATTCAGTCTGTCATGTTATCTTTCACAGGGCATTCTCCAACATGGAGTAATGCACTGTTTTCTGTGAAAGTTCCGAATGAAAATGTACTTTATTTTCTAATGCCATGATGCCCGTACCACAATTGTAATATAATTGGGAATAAGAGGCAAAATCACGAAAAAAATTTTACTGCGTTTTCGTGTTATTTTCTGCATAATAAAAAAAATACTCTGAAAAACAATTCAAATCTCCTTTAGTGGCATTTAGATTAAAAGAAACACTGATACGCAGGAAGACAGAAAGCTATACTGACAGCTTACTTAGCAGCTAGTAGTACAGCTAAAAAGCCACCCATCCAGCTAAATGCCCATGCGACCACTCTTGCGCCATCCAACACTCTGTGCCCAGGGCCACACTACCTGTGAAAGCCGATACTGAGGGTCAGCTGTGCCATGATCAGCATCTCAGTGAGCAGGTTGTACGACTCGGCCAGATGCACCGTCTCGCCCGGGTCGCTCGGCACCAAGCACGTCTCCTTCTCCAGTCCTGTGCGCACACAACGGAAGCACCGGCCTATTAAAATAACCACCAATTTAGTAGCTGGGTGGCTCGGGAGGTGGTCAGAGCACTGAGCTGATGCCACTGAGATGCTGGGCTCAAATCCAGGCAAGCTACCTCTGATTAAACTGGGTCCTTAAGTGGAGTGAATTGATGGTCTGAGCCTGGTCACCAATGACTGCACAAAATATAACAGATCACAGTAATTTTGTTTCTGTGATTAATGTGCTTAAGGTCCAGCTCTGAGAATTACAATATCTGCTTTGAACGTGCTGTGACAAACATTACTCTCAATGTGGTAGAGTGAGTGGGAAAGTGCTACTCTGTACTGAGGCCAGGTCATTAGAAGTAAGGCCAAGTCACTTGAAGCGATCTCAAAGGTAGCTTCTGTGATATCTGTTTACATGGACCTTGCTCTCACGCAAAGGGTTCCAATGTTCTGCGATAGGTCCGAATGGTTACAAAACCTCAAAAGCTACATTTTTTTTTAAAGTGAAAATTTAAATATTCAATCATGAGCAGTTGTGGAAAAAGTTATTTTACAATACAATCAGATTTTGCCTTCAACAGAGTAGCACTTCAGGTAAGAGATTTGCATTTGTAATATATTTGATGGTTTATAAAAATGGAGAAACATTTAAAAACTGAAAGCAAGCTTTAGAATATTGACGAGCTAAGTACACTGTGTCTGAAAGCCCAGAATAAGAGCTACTGCATCATGCAATAGAAATGGGGTTCATGACATATTGCATAAAATATGTGTTTAGGCCATGCCATTTTAATAATTTATTAAGATATGCCAAAATACATATCATTTTTTGAGGATGCATTCACCAACTGAGTGCTTCCCAAGTGAAGTGAAACCTCCAGAAGCTCCTTCCTCGCTCCCTCACCAGCCATGTGCACTCCACGTGCCGCACGCGCGGTCGACTCCAGCGATCCCGCTGCACAATACGTGGGGTCGAAACTCAGCAACTTGGGAGAATGCGGGCGGCAGAACGGACGGCAGAGGCGTGCAAGGACACCGCCTAGGTTCAGCAGCATACCATCAGAGGAGAAGCCCTGCAAAGACGTGAGGATGGTGGTCAGGAAACAAGGTGACACGGCATGGTTTGTCAATTCTACCCCTTCATACCAGAAACTGCAACATTGAAAATTGACCAACTATTATGATACGATCTAAGATTTTGTGGATGAAAAAAGGTCCTTTCTTGTTATCCCTGTATATGAATCTAGAGCCTGACTGGTTATGAACTTAGCACCATGCGAGGTTCATAAGCAGCCAAATCAGTAACTATTTAATCTTGTATCATTATTTTAACCGTAGCTAAATTGACCAAATTGAGGACGCTCGCCGTATAATAACTCATGAAATCTGAAGGATCCAAGTGAGAGCTCTTCTCTGAGTACTCGCACTGCAGACTCAATCAACCCTGGGGGAGGCAAATTCATAGAGACGCACACAAACGTAACCCGGGCCTGCCATAGCGTGCCCTGTCACGTTGCACACCTGATGGAAGAGGGCAGGCATCTGGCTGGCCCAGAGCTTGCGCCGGCCGGCATTGGCGCTCAAGCATCCGGCGAGCCAGGAGAGCAGCTTGTGCCGCGTCTCCGGGTTCTGCATGAGTGTCCGCAATACCAGGCTCATCTGCTCTTGCAGGTGCGCCATCAACTGCAGCACGAGCACGGTTAAAAGCACAGTGATTATCATGCAGTAATGACGATGGAAATAGCAGTAGCAATGTTTAAATATATATAGGCAGGTTCAAATGCAAACATACGGATCAATGATTTAAAGCTTTCGTGACTGCAGGGATTCATATTCTTGGTTCTTTCGGTAAAGTCACGTAGAAGGGAAACAATAAAATAATAAAAATATAAAACAATAAAATTCTCACGACGTTTCGACTGCAACACAAGCAATCATCAGGTGTGAAAACCACAGCAATATTTTTTTTGCTGTGGTTTTCACACCTGATGATGATTGCTTGTGCTGCAGTCGAAACTTCGTGATAATTTTATTGTTTTATATCTTTATTATTTTGTTTCCCTTCTACGTGACTTTTACCGAAAGAACCAAGAATATACGGATCAGTGTTATGCGTAATAATGCACTTAGCAATATTTCTGCATAGCTTGAGTTCGCGTAACATAAAAAACACTCGTTCGTGGTGCTGGGGTGGTCATGTGATCCTCGAGGCCCATAAGGGAACATTCCGCAATGTGTACCACTAAACTACTGTATGCAGTTTTTTTGTTTAAATAAAAACGAATACATTTTATTAAGCAGTTATCCCTTAAAGTGTATGTGCATCACAACGTGATGTATCGGGCCTGCACATTTCCTTTAAAAAAAAAAAACTAGCCATCCCTCGTCATACGGGAACTTAAAATAAACAATTTCGCTAAAACGTAATTTATAAATCAGGGAAGGTCCAAAGCCGATTCTTCTACTTCCGCCCATCACTAATCTAAATTCCTTTATCTTTTCTATCTCCTATTTGTCGATTTCCTTTCTCGAGCTCTTCTATTCAATTCCTGCGTTATACGTATGGGCTCCTATGGTTACGCTTGTTTCTGCTGGTTGTACAGATGTCATGTACCCGAATTCTGTGCTTTCCCGTACCCAATGTTGTTGTCGAAAATACCAATTAAATTATATATTTTGTAATGCCCAAAGCATTATGTGCATGCACGCACATAGAAGCACAGAGACATATGAGGCAAGTGCACCTGGTGTATGTTGGCCTCCTGCATGTGCAGCTCGTGGGGGCCAATGCGTGTCGGGTTGGAGAAGTATGGTTGCTGCCCGACGCCCGAGGGGCCTGGGGGAGCGAAGGGGCTCAGGGGCAGGCAGGAGGGGCGCAGCACCGCACCCAGGATCGTGCTGTCGTACTGCGCGCCCTGCTGGCCATCCGCCACTGCCACGTGCCGCATCAGCACCTGCGCACGCGCGCACACACACACACGCGCAGTGGTTAAATGTAGTTGGGCGAGTACACCTGCATCTCTTCTACGTCCCCCTTGAGTGTCGCGCAAAGATTGTCAGATATCTATATCACCCAATGTCTTACACACAAAGCCAAACGAATGTTGCATTGTAGCACGTGCAAACACGCGTGGCGTGACCCGACTGAAAGATAACAGATGTGGTCATTTTTATCACAATGCTTGCGTGGAAAAGATCACAAAAAAATTTAAGAGGAGGCGGCACGCGTTCAAAAGTACACGTTGCTCGCGTAATGCAATCTGCTACATTAAGCACACGTCATAATGGCATAATAGCATGTGCTTGTTATAACAAAGCATTGTTTTTATTATATTCTTGGTTCTTTCGGTAAAGTCACGCAGAAGGGAAACAATAAAACAATAAAAATATAAAACAATAATATTCTCACGACGTTTCAACTGCAACACAAGCAATCAATCAGGTGTGAAAACCACAGCAAGAAAATTTTAAAAAAAAATGTTTGCTGTGGTTTTCACACCTGATGATGATTGATTGCTTGTGTTGCAGTCGAAACGTCGTGAGAATATTATTGTTTTATATTTTTATTATTTTATTGTTTCCCTTCTGCGTGACTTTACCGAAAGAACCAAGAATATGAATCCCTGCAGTCACGAAAGCTTTAAATCAATTTTTTTTTTTAATTCACAATCTAAATCTTGATTTTAAATAATCTTTGCCGCAGTTGCATCCATTATTATAGTAACGCTGCGTTAACACAATAATATGCCAGCCGTGCATCTGCACAACTGTGTGCATGACCACGTTGCGCACACACCACACACAACCACAATCTTGCGCAGCCCCACCACGCGCGCACCTTGGCCATCTCGGGGTGCGCTACCCAGGCGCTGAGTGCCGCCAAGCAGCGCGGCAGGGCTGGTCCCTCCAGACGCGTTGTGTCCAGCTGGCCCCGCAGCACGTCCAGCGCTGGCCAAAAGGCGTCCTCCAGGGAGTCGCCCTCGGTGACCATCGCCGACAGCACTGCCTGCATGAACTCGGCCCCCTCGCCTAGCGCCCCACCTGGGTTGGCAAATGACACACAGCCGGGGGGGGGGGGGTGTATTAGATCATCTCCCCCTGATTGCATACTTGACTAATTTCCACCCGCATTTGAAGTTCATACAAATCTTAGATAAGCCGTTCGAAATAAACCCAATATGTTGGTTTATAAAAGTGTATCTTACAGATGTTATTCTGCTCATTGCCACATCAGAGAACTTTGTAAAAGTGTGGTATGTTGAAATTTACTACCCTAGAAGTAAAAAATGTAGTTTGTTCCATGCGTGCAGGATTTTGTCATGTATAGAAATGATCCTACAATGTCCTCCATCGTTTTTTACGCAGAGATCTGCTAAGCCAATTCCCAGTCACGTTATAAAACATAGAAAGCATCTGTGTCTGCCCTCACTACCCTGCCTCTGCATATATTAGCTAAACACTTAATTATCGGTTTCATACTAAATTACTAATGTTACAGCTATACACATCTTAGTTTATTATGAGGGCAGTTAAGAAACATAACACGCAACTCACTTGCTTTTTTTCTACAAGTTATTCATTTACCAGGTAAAGACTGCTAAGCTAATAGCTCTTTTCAGAGGTGACCTGGCCACAAAAGGTCATGCAAGTGGCTTATATCATGTGGTCATTTATAGTTGCAGTAAATTAAGCTAAATGTATGCTTCCCAATATGGATGGCAAAACCGTAGGACTCGAGAGAGAAAATCCACGCGACCACGGGGAAAACACACAAACTCCAAACACACAGGCGACAGGGCAGGGATTGAACCCATATATTATTGTGTACCAGGCGAAGAACATAACCCTTTGCCACCCTTTCGATAGATATTCCAATCGTGCAAATTTCACCATGCCACACAATGAAGAAATGTTACATTGGGAATTATTGCAGCTAGCAGTGCACGACCCTGTATCAAAGAACAGCCATGAAAAGATGAGGCCATAGAACAAATTCTAAAGTCACTTCAAAAGACATTTATCCTCAATAGGGGCCCATGGCACAGCCTTTAATTGTCCTGCATTCGTTGTATGCCAATCAAACAGAAGATATGTTAATCTGCAAAATAGCCAATTAAGTGAAAAAAACTAAATGAATCAAATGTTTTTGTTCAGTCATTGTTTACCAGGCTGACAACCACCAGCGCACAGCACTTGACAACCCTGTACAATCACAGGCGGGCTGCCTCGATTTCTAGCCCGGGATTTCTCAGCGGTGCCAGGGCAATGCTCCCGACACGCTGTTTAGCACCCCTGCAGCCAACTGGCCACCGCTCCCGCTGTTGTAATTTGAAACGGAATTTTTTTTTAACAGTTTACACTCGCCGGGGGTGACGGACGCAGAGTCGGCCAGCAGTTCCAGCAGCTGGGCATGCGTGTCCGCGTCGGGGTAGATTTCTGGCGTCAGCAGGCTCGTTCGCGCGTTGGACACGCACAGATTGCGGCACTGAACCACGGAGCTAAGCAAGTGCTCCGGGACTTTGGCCAACTGGAAAAGCAAAGACAAGACAAAGACCACCATGTAGCCTTAACAGACTGTTGGGGTAAGTGTTGCTAGCGAGCACCTACAGTATAAAGGCCAGCACAGAACACAAGGGGGTGGGGGGTGGCCAGCCCCACACCCGGCCGCCTTTGTCTCCCCAGTGGCGATGTTTACACATTGCACCAGGTTCTCATTTAAGGCTGAGTCGACCTAGGGGAGGCCCCGGACCGGTTCAGAAAATCGTCACTGGTGTTGACCGCAAGCGGGAATCGAACTCAGGTTGTCAGCTTTGAAGCGCAATGCACTAACGACTGGACTACCGCAACCCAAAGTTGGAGAAGCAAACGCACACAAACACACCAGGAGGGCTTCACCCCCACCCCGCGCCACCACTGCTAATTTTGTGTGCGTATAAACTCGCGTGTGAAACCTGCCTTCAAGAGCGGGGTCGCTTTTTGTTGCTTGTCTCATGTTCATTAAAAGCTGTGAGACAATAAAACTCCATTGTGTCTGTGGTTACGCCCAAGAGGTAAATCTGGCTTTGCGGGGTGTCCCGTTTCCTTTCAATCAAACAAAAATATTCGTATATTCATTTCGCAGATCATTTGTGCAATGTGCTGTGCGTATTGTACAATCATATTAAGTCCGAATATACTATTATGCTGCAATACAGTACAATGCAGCTGTTATTGTAATTGTGAAGAATTCAAGGCACACAAGCAAGATATTCTGTAATTTAATCAGTAAAAGGTTATTGGCATAGACATCTGCTAACAGTCCAACATAAATGTTTCGTTTTAGCATTATAATACGCTTATTTACACACTCAGGTCTCAAGACTTTTCATGAAGGTCCAGTATTTGGATGTTTGGCCAATTCTAACCAATGAGTGGATTGGCGCGTGGGATGAAAAACTGGAGTTCCCGAAGAGGACCAACACGCACACAGCCGGGGATAGTGTTCATAGCTCTGCACGGACAGATTCAAGAATCAGTCGCTGTACTGCCACCCCGCGCGTTCACGAATGTGAGGACGGGCACCTCAATCTTGGCGCGCCGGTAGCAGGCGAGGAGATAGTGCAGCACGCTGTGCTCCCCAGCATCACGTTCTGCTGAAAAATTGGCCTGGCCGGCGGTCATGGAAACCACATGTCTGTCCGGATTCACCAGCAAAAGGCGCGTGAACAACGCCTGCAGCCACACAAGACACATGCGCACCGTCCGTATTAACCCAAGAAACATGGTATACTATTTAATTAGCACACATACATCCACATAGATCCACAGCCCTTTATCAAACCTGTGATGGACTGCAGGGGTGGTTTAACCATTCTTCACCATGCTGGCATAAGAAATGTACAGCACTTTAAAATAAACTCCGTTTCATTTGAATCGTGAAAGTGCATGACGTGTGTATATACCAGCAATGCAAAAATTACCATTAAAAACGTAACATATACTCCATAGGCGAAGACACATGCAGAAATCTTCATTTTTTCCATTCGAGAGCAGACCAAGCATTGACTAATGCATGAACGAACTATGCAAATGCTAAATTGTTGATTAAAAAATCCAAATCATGGTGAGTCATGAGCACTGGCACTCAATAAATGTGCCACACAAACCAAGTAAAATCAGCATTGCAAGCACTCATTTGTATTCACGTCCCAACAATGTGCAAGTGAGATAATAAAACGAAGTCAGGAAATGAAATCTGTTGGAAATACGGAACCGTTTCCATTGTCCGTCAGTAAGCTGCTCTACAATTGCATGCAACCACTTACCTGCTCCAAGTTGTCCATATCGAGCCAGTCTTGTGCGTCTGGCTGCGCAACTGTCTCCTGCAGATAAACGCAGCATGGTGGGATCCCATTGCTGTTCCGAGTACTGGGTTCACCTGTACACGCACAAAAAGATAAATATCCCTTCATGGAGGCCTTTAAGACTAAGATTTTGTAGCGCAGTGAACTAACCACCGTGCCACTGCTCCTCACACAGATATCTGCACAACTACACACATGTATGCTGTATAATGTTTTTGGAAACATTCGATTTTAACATTGAATTTAGTATATTAGAAATATTTGGGCCAAGTCCTGTTGAAGAAAACACATGCTGGAGATAGCACATCCACTTTATAAGCTGTTCAATCATGAACAGATATAACCTAACACCATAAATATTGCACAACATACACAGTACGTAAATATTATTTATGACCAGGTCAGTGACCAGTAAGACAACAGTACATTTGTGCAAGGGACGCACAGGGGTATAAAATATGATATCAAACAGCAGTGTTGAAAAAAGATCAACTATATGGCCTATAAAGTAGAAGCGTTTTGTTTCTGCATCCAAAGCAAAAAAAAAGGCTAAATTCAAAAAACGTGCAAAATACATTCAGAAATTTGCATAAAAAACAGCATTCTATTGTATTTAGGATGTATATGGTGCCCTTTCCAGGGCAATGCAAAGACTACAGTCATTTCCGATCTGAAGGCAAACAAATTCAACCAAACAAAACTCAATTAACTTTTCATCGATTGACAAAAGCCAAAAATGTAATTTTGGAGCGCAGAAAGCCACGCTGAAGTTGGTCGACTCGGCGAATCCCTCCAAACGTTACACCCAATGCTACCGGATTACTTGCAATGAGCAAAATAAATCCTTGACCCCTGCTTGGCGCGGGGCAACGTTCGGCGGGCGCCACTTTGACTCACTGCTGTCGAGCGTGATGAGGAAGACGCGCTGGATCATGTGGTTGAGGTTGAGGTGTACACAGGTCTCTTGCTGGTTGCGGAAATCCCGCTTGCACGCCTCCACCGAGTCCTCCGTCTCCTCGTCGGCGCTCTCCGACCTGCTGCTGCTGCTGCTCTCCGTGAAACCCTCTGTGGGGCTCTCATCTGCGTTTTACGAGGTTGCAAATCGTTACTTGCCGTTCACATGTACAGCAGACTGGTGTGCGATTTAAAAAGTGAAAACGTGTGGTCCTCCTATCATGCATAAAAAAAATATAGATATAATCAGTGGCTAATGTGTACGACTCACGAGTGGCTTTCCTGAGTAAGTCAATTCCTAGTATACTATTACTTTAACAGTATTACTATGTACGTGTCCCTCCACATTAATAATAAAGGTATATATTACACTTTCGGTCAACCACAAGGCCTTCCAGGAATACATAATGTGTGGTAGATGGGAAGTGTAAAAAAAACTTTTGTTATTAATATGGAGGGACAGGCATATGAAGGAGATAAAGTGCCTGGTTATTTATTGTTACTCATTCTCCACAATGACACCAAATATTATCTTGTGCTTTGTACAGTGTTATGTTATATAACAGATTTTTTTGTTTAGTTTGTTGTCCTTCCACCGCACCTCCAAATAGCAGTCGGCTACGTACAGTGCAAAAAAAGTTCAACATACATGCGTGTGCTGGCCGAAGAACTCTGAGACCAATACACATGGATTTGAGAAAAAAAGGTATCATATATCTTGATTTAAAGCTTTCGTGACTGCAGGAATTCATACTCTTTGGGTCTTTCGGTAAAGTCACGTAGATAGAAAAATAATACAAATAAGAATATCACGACGTTTCGATCGCAACACAAGCAATCGTCTTCAGGTGAAAACATACAGCAGGCGAACTGAGGCAGCAGTTCGCCTGCAGTCACGAAAGCATGCTGTATTTTTTCACCTGAAACGTCATGATTTTTTGATATTTTTTCTATCTACGTGACTTTACCGAAAGACCCAAAGAGTATAAAAAGGTATAATGTAAAAGCTTATATGTAGTTTACAATAAGGTCTAGATTTTAATCAAATAAGATGTTTCATCCAATAATTTGGCTTATTTAATCCGGTGCTATATACCCGTTCTACTGTTTGTAATAATAGCTTGGCATGTGATGTCAGCTCCAGTCTCATTTTTAAAGTATACAAAGTATTGGCATATGGTGTTGGTTGGGAGGGGGTGGAGAATGCAGGGGGGCATGGGATGTGGGGCAGGGGGAGAAATTGAATCTCAATGGATTTTCCCACTTTATATTTGCATACACTGGTGAGTGTTGAGGGTCAGATGAAGTGGCATGTCACTCCTTCTGCAGGATGAGCTTTATACAGCACTCATCTCAAATGGCAATCTTGAGCTGATAAATAAATCTCCACTTGTCTATGACAGGACTCATTTTATTCAGATGCCATCACATCCTGCTCAAACAGTGATACGTGGAATGCTAACCACAGCTTATGGGAATTTATACATCACCAACCAGGATTTAAATTCAGGACCTTGAGATAATTTTCTCAGTGTTCCACCAAATCATCATGCCTCCTATCAAATACAGCTACTTTAAGGAGCAAACACCTAGGCGGAGAAAATGCTGATTATTTAGAGTTGCTCATTCACACTCACCCTCAATCTTGTCACCATGCTGTTGGCCCTGTTTGGCTGAAAAACGCTCTGCATCAGCCACTGATCCAAAGAGCGCTGCGAATGGGTTGGTCGAGATGTTGTTATTCTCACGGTCGTTCATCTCTACTAATCCGACTGTTTGGAGTCCGCGGAATCAGCAGTACTCTTCTGGCCAGGCCAAGCCAAGCCAAACCTATCTGTTGCTGTAACCACCACACAGAAAAAAACATGCAATCAATGGGTTTCCAATATAAATATTTGTTCAAATCAGTTGGATAAAGGGTATATCGCTTTTAAAACTAACCAAGTGAAGAACAAAATACATGTTTACATCTCCACAGTGTTATCAAATAACGACTTATCTAGGAAATCTAAAGACTTGAGGAAGGTTATGCTTTTGGATGTTTGGACAAAATCACTTGTTAAAAGGAAACCAAAGTACCTAGAGAAAACTGACAAATACGATATAAAAAAAGGTCCACAAATATTTATGTATTGCTATCTCCAGACGAAAGGGTTGGTTAGTCTTAGAAATGTGTATGATCCACTGACCATTACCTCCAAAGCACTGAATTAGAGATGGGCTCCATCATCCAACAGGAGAGAATATGGCTGGGGATGGTGATGAGTAAAACATGTTTATTTAATCGCAAGTGGTGTAATTTTACCTGTTCATTAGCCACCATGTAAATGGTATAAAAATAATTACTCATCAATGTGTAACATACGTAATGGCAATCAGGGTGTTGTGAAAAGTATTTATAAACCATACAAATAGTTGGCATTTCCTCATAACTAGGGTATTAAAGAACGGACTCCACTGCACGTCTATCTTTCCACTTTTCATTCAGTCAATTTGCATGTGATTGTAAAACAAACAAGTAAAACACATGTGTTGGCTGGCTGACGAATAACAGCCCATGCTTGATCCTTCCTGCACCAGTGGGTGCCCCATCATTAGCATAAACTGGACTTTACTCAAGACGAATTTATCATCAGTCACGATCTTTCATCAAATGCTGGATAAAGGCCTCCAGACGCCACCACCATCCCTCATGGTCCTGCGATGTAATATCCCTGCAGCACCTGCACATCAGTTAATGTCATCGCTCCATCTCTGTCGTGGTACTCTCGCAGGCAGTCGCCCTCCAAAAACTGGCAGAGGAGCGACGCTCACAAGAACGAACGTTCTAGAACGCAGGGCAGCGAAAACGCAGCAAAAGTTGGCACAGTGGCGAGCACTGGTGGTGTATCTGCCAGTCATCCCATAACACCTGGGGTCTGTCCCGCGAATTCTTGCCAGCGAGCCTTCAAAACATCAATGTGCAACCTAACAAGGGTTATCATCACTTCGTGGTGAAACAGCGGTTGTTCTTGTTACTATGGCTGCCAGCTGACATTTCTATTATCTCACATACATTTGGACCATAGACGAATTCAGTGTTTTAAGTAATCTACTGGAATTTCAAAATGTGCAGATTTTCTCACTGGAGTGCCGGTGAGTTTGGTAATCATTTCATTTGACTTTGCAGTGTACGCAAGGCTCGTGGAAATGTTTTCACAAGGTCTCACTTTCACTTCACCATCTTCTTTTCAACGTGGCACGACCAACCACCCACCCACGCACGCTTGTGCTGCGTGTGCTTCATAAAACCACCTCCACCCCATCCTATGTAAAATTGTCATTCACAGCCCCCGTGTTTGAAAATCCACCGCTAAAGGGCCTGCCCTTCCTCTCCACGCGGTGCAGATGGGGGTGGTTGTTTACTTGACCATACTTCTCCATGCCGGTCATTGAGGGTTGTGTAGTGAATGGCCCTCTCCCCCTCCGGTTCGGGACCGCTTAAGCCAGAATGCGCCACCAACCCACACGATAGCCGTGACTGGCATCGATATATATAAAATCCAAACTCGTGACAGTGCGCTAACAGCTGCGCCACCGCTCTCTCTCAATCTCTCTCGCTGTGTAAAAACCTCCATATATATTTTTTTTGCGTTTGACAATGACCGTGATGACAGAAACGTCGAGATCTTGCCGTCGTCTTCAGTGGCAGGGGGAAACCCCGACGAATATAATTAACGCGATGAGGCAACACCGTCCCGTTCACAGTGAGCACACGTTCAGCCATTGAAGAAGCCAGCACCACCAGGCACAACAACAACCACCACCACCACAACGAGGCGGCCGAAACCCACCACGTAAGCAACCCGTCGTGGCAACTTAACGCTACATTAACGCAACAGCGCCGATGGTAATTAATGCGCCAAAAGCAAACGGCCGGGTAATTCGACGTTAAAACGTTTTATTGATTTCTTATCCAGAGGTCGCACGCGAAACACCTCGCCCTGCCTGTCGGCCCTGCGTAGCCCCCCACAAAAGCCTGGCGAAAGCGCCGCGAGGAGAGGAAGCTGAGGGGGGGGGGACGACGACTGATTTTATATATAAATAAAATTAAACAGCCGCTACTTGGCGTTGTGTATTTTGTTGTCTTAGCGTTGTGCTGTTTAACCGCCCGTCAGCGAAAACGAAGGCGAGACTCGTTACCGTGAGGGGAAGGCGCGCAGTCTACACAGGGCGCAGCGCCCGGACGCCTCCTCTGCCGAGTCTGGAAGATGTCCACCGAAACAGAGGGAAGACCGCGCGCTTCTATGGTCGGTGGAGATCTTCCGTATTCGGTGGTACTCTTCCATATTCGGTGGAAATCTTCCGTATTCGGTGGAGATCTTCCGTTTTTTGTAATCCTCTTACCGGTGGCGATAGACGGACCCTCAAAACTGCCGGTAGCACTCCTTCTAAAGCGCCACCGGTAGCTGAAGAAGAACCCTCATACATCTGCCGGTAGAGACTTCCAAACCGTCACCAGCAGACACTCCTAGACGCCACCGGTGGTGGAAGGCGCATCAATAAAACAAACAGCCATCTGCCGGTAGAATCTTCCCTCCTCCTCCACCGGTAACGGAGGAGAGACCGATAAAACTAACGCCCACGCGACTTCGCAGACAGCTCAGCAATGGACGAGAGCGGCCCTGTGGTGGTGGAGAAGGTCCAGGTAAACTGAGCTCGCTGAGCTCTCGAGAAACATCAACAGCGCCGCGCGAGCGAGCGAGCTAACGCTGCCGTTGATACACAGCGCGAGGTCGCGCTCGGCGCACTCTCACCGCGTTTTAATAAGTGCCAAGTCATAGGGTAGGCCGCTACGGAGCCTTACGTTTTTCCTAGCGACCCCGCTTTGCCGGACTTGGCCGCTGTCCCCGCAGACGCGATACCGCCAGGCCCTTGGGGCTCAGACTTGTAATGGCTTACTACCGATGCGTGTTGTATCACATACACTCTTGTATCTCATTGACTGCTTTTTGTTCGTAATAAATATAATTTAGATTTATAAGGCGCCCTAAAGCAATGGGGTTTCACACCGGTAATTAAAAACTATTGCCTTTTTTTCCAGACTATGATATCATAGTATGTGGTCGATGGAAGATAATTTTTCGTTTTAAACCCTGTTTGGTCTCTTACGTGTTACGTTGAAAGCATAACTAGCACTCACAAACTTGACTCCGGCCCATGATTTGCTACTTAAACAAATACTGCGGGGCAGCATCGATCCAGAAGGCCTCTACAATGAAAAACTCTTAGAACAACTGGTAATATGAAAACAGCCGATCGTTTTGCAAAATGAAATGTTTTAACTTTAGCGAAAAGTTAGAAGTCATTGTTAGTCTGACATGTCCCTGCCTAAGTGAGAGGCTTAGGTCAGACCAGATCTATCGAAGGGAAGAGAGTAACGGGGTGAATACTGTAGTTGTTTCCAGGCCCGTTTCTATTTTGACGCATGGACTCGCGTATTCAACACTTAACATACCATTGTTTATGGTGGTTGTGACCCTTTGTGCTGTGTTGAGTCATGGTGTGATGTATTTAAGTTATAGGTGTTTTTGCAATGCTTTCGTATACAATGTTATGGTGTATGATATTGCTGTATTTTACAGTGGCTTATAATGGATTAGATAGTTATTTTCGTTTTGAATGCTGTTTGCTTGGTATCCTGTTTCTTCAGTGTGCTTGTGGTATTAAGCCTGTCCTATATTGCAGGCCTCTACTACAGTTGAATTGTGTTGTTTGATGTCTCTTTACTTTCTGTTTGATGTGATGTATGCTTATATCAGGAGGAGCTCCTGACCGTGGTGCCTGACAGTAGGCCCCAGACAAGTCTGTCTTTCCTGGCACCTGAGCCTGATGATCTGGAAGATCTCTACTCCAAGTTCAAGGTATCAAGGCCGTTCCTAAAGCAGGGAGGGGGGGTCGGGTGGGTGGGTTATTTGTGTCAATTCCTAGTAGATTTGTTAGCTCTGACTAAGAATGCACATTCTTCTTTGTGCCCATTGCAGAAGCTTCAGCGGGAGCTGGAATTCCTTGAGGTGCAGGAGGAGTATATCAAGGATGAGCAGAAGAACCTCAAGAAGGAGTACCTGCATGCGCAGGAGGAGGTCAAAAGAATCCAGAGCATCCCGCTCGTCATTGGGCAGTTCTTGGAAGCCGTTGATCAGAACACTGGCATCGTTGGATCCACCACTGGTTGGTGTTGCACACAATATCGTTTAAGAACCTGTCTAATGTGACCTAATTAATGGCAACGCTGTATACATTTGGCACATTTAACATTTGTAAGCTATGGATTTATCAAAGTAAAATAATTGTTATTTATCCAGGAAAGCCTCAATCACCGTCACAACTTTTTTTCAGGAGGGTCCTGCAGTTGGTTGTATGGAAAATGTTGTCAATGAGTATTTTACTTTTAACGATTAAACTGGTGTACCTGGCAAATATCTACACCTGAAGGTCTGGACAGATGGGTTCATAACCCATTTGCTGTACTGGCACCTTCTGACCACCTCAGAGCCAAGCGGGTTTGTTTTCACAAATCGACATTTTACACCAACTTTCACCTCCTAAGTACCATATCGCAGCGTGCGCCCACCACGTCCAGCGTAAGTTTACCCGCTGGATTCGCCTGCTTGTGATGTCGTGGCTAACGGAGCCCACTGTTTTTTTTTCGCCATGCAGGATCTAACTACTACGTGCGGATTTTGAGCACCATCGACCGCGAGCTGCTGAAGCCCAGTGCCTCGGTGGCACTGCACAAGCACAGCAATGCACTGGTGGACGTGCTCCCCCCGGAGGCCGACAGCAGCATCACTATGCTCACCGCAGGTACTTTGGTTCCTGCACCTGTGTGCCGACGACAAGAACAGCAGCAACTAGCACCCTGACGTTCCGCCATGCTTCTCGTGGCGAATATAACACGGAACGGATTTGTGGCTGACCACAAACAAACTGATCTGAAAAAGATTAAACGTAGGGGGGGGGGAGTTGTGACTGCTTGTATGTTTTATCTTTCATAGGAGACATTGCAAGAAGAATGTAACACGGTCCAGACTTGACAATTATGGCATGAACATTTTCAGTATATTTATGTTGCCCATTGTCACAGGCAAACTAATGACCAAAATTATAATTGTATACAGAGCAAATCAGTCTTCCTGTGGGAGAGATGTATGCATGTAACTCGAAGGGATATTTTCATCCATGAACCAGGGCAGAAATGTTTACCATTTAAGTAAGGTAGCAAAACTTTTGTAGGACCGATTTATCTATATGGATAATAAGAGTTAATTATTTTATCACCCACTAGTTTCAAATGGCTACCATGTAATTAATTTAATTTGGCCGGAAATCAATTCAGAACCACTATAGTTACGCTGCCACAGGTGGAACCAACGAGTGAAATATCTGGTTTGGACCCGTTTGATATTTGTTAAAGCTATCCATAATAATACTTCCAAACAATACAAACAGTGTGAGTGATTAGCACAATTTTCAAAAGTGTGCTTGTCTGCACCTACGGTGGGTGGCCATACAAAGTTTAGCTGGGTTATGTGCTCGACTCGTCACAATCTCATGAGCTGTGCCAACGGAAATAGGCACCGGGAAAAGAAATGGACTTACGCCTTTGTGCGTTTGGCAGATCAAAAGCCGGACGTGACGTACGTGGACATCGGAGGGATGGACATCCAGAAGCAGGAAGTCCGTGAGGCTGTGGAGCTGCCACTCACACACTTTGACCTCTACAAGCAGGTGCCTCTCTCACAGAGCTTGCTACCTCTTTAGAGCACTTACACTTTTCTACTGTACAACTAAACTATACCAGGGTCGTTCCAGGCCAGTCTGGCTTCACTCGGGAGCAGTCAGATTGTTTGTTTGGTGAGTGCTGCATTTGTTTTTATTTACTAATTGCTACTTAAGGAGCATTTTTGCATGTGGGAGGAAACCCGATTTCCTGGAGAAAATCCAACACGTACGAGGGGAAAGCATTCTTCAAAGTTTTGCACAACCGGGTTTACAATTCCACTCCTTGTACAATCATATATGGCTATCTTGCAGCCGAGCGGGTTTTTAACGTTTACAAATCCGTTTTAATATGTATGTGGAACTTCTTTTGCACTGTACATAGCCGACTGTGCTAATAAACCAATACTTGCCACCAGAACATTTGGTTACAGGCATGTGCCAGCATTCTGGCACTCTACAACTGTTGAACAGCTTACTAGTTGCAAATAACAGATGTTTTTCCATTTGTTACATTATAAGCAAAGTATTGATAAATGTAATACATGGACTTCTTAATTTTCCACATCTGACTTAATTACGTAATAACATTGAAACCTTAAGCCACTTAAGGCATGTGTGGATTTTACTTGTATTAATTGTTATGAATCCAAATGCAGATCCCTTTTTGTATTTCTTGAGTGTTTCTCACAGAGTTTTGTTGTCTACCCAGATCGGGATTGACCCCCCTCGGGGAGTGCTGATGTACGGACCGCCTGGCTGTGGCAAAACAATGCTGGCGAAGGCCGTGGCTCACCACACTACAGGTAAGCAACCCATTCCTGCCCATTTAAGCTTGCTTTCATCGGTACTAATTTCAAGAGGTTCCTGCAAAGGGATATTACCTGATTTATATTTGTGAGTGCTATGTCTTGGGAAATGAGAGTTACTGGAGGAAACTCACAAAAAAACACCTTATAAACTCACAAATATTCAGCAACAACACCCAGTGCCAGATACGTTTATTCAGTTCTCATATTGCCATCCCCTGGCCAACCCAGACATCAAGCCTACAATCCCTAGTATGCCGTGTTATGCTCATCCAAGGACTATCCAAACTTAACCCTTCTTAATTTCCAAAATCGAAACATTGGGCACATGGTTATTTGCAAGTAAACATGTGCGGCTCCATATTAAATATTAAAGATAAAACCTCAACATTACTCATTAGCTGTTTAATTGAACATCACGGGCCAAATTCCATCGTGATAAAACTCCATAATATAGGTATTTTTGGGTTAGATCGCATGAGTATAAATGTGTCGTTAACCTGCCACCACCCGACACAGCCAAACAGTAAGGTTTGTGATGTGAACAAAACATGCCAATGCGTTACTAGTACAGCACACCGGTGTGTTGCAGAGCAAAGCCACAACATTTACAATTTGAGTAAGTCTTTTCGCTCGTGATAAAACTGCTTAAATGCATTGCTTTGGTAAGCTGCTCGATCATTGTTGGCAATTGGAGACATTGGCACATCATTGCTAGACAGCTGACGAAAACTGAACGTGCGTCGGGGATGACACAATCTGGAGTGGTGTTTTTTTTGGTGCAGAACAACGTTTAATTTGTCCGTGCATCGTTTATGTCTGTGGTCCTGGTGCGTTGGAGCGCTTTGCGTGAATTTTTTTTACGTGCGGGCATTTATGGTTTAAATCTGCTCCTGGCCGTGTGCAGCGGCCTTCATCCGCGTGGTGGGCTCCGAGTTCGTGCAGAAGTACCTGGGCGAGGGCCCACGCATGGTGCGCGACGTCTTCCGTCTGGCCAAGGAGAACGCCCCGGCCATCATCTTCATCGATGAGATTGACGCCATCGCCACCAAGCGATTTGACGCGCAGACTGGAGGTGGGCGTTGCTCGCTCGCAGTTGCCCGCACCGGCGACGCGCATACAGTTTAGAACAATTGAGGCCGAGTCTCCAATGCATTAAATTATCGGTATCACAACATTGAATTACGTTGAGTCATCTTAAATCACAAATGCACCAAGTATATAGCTACATGTCCAAATGTAATTGCACAATAGGATTTGTTTTGTCCATTAAAATTGTGTATGCTAGATGTCACTGTGTAACTCGGGTCAGAGAGCTGAGCTGCTGCCACTGCTGAGATCCTAGTTTCAAGTACCGGTAGTCCCGTCACCAATGACAACCCAGGTAACCATCCCGTTAGATGAGGTTCTGCACCGAAGCTAGCTAAATTACAGCTCTGATAATAAAAAATATTAGGTTTCTTATCCCGTGGTGAACATTCTCCGTCTAGTGTGGGAACTAGGGGTCACTTGGAGGGGATGTGCTGATATCTGCTTATTCTGGCCATCCTCTTACACGAAGAGTTGCACTGCTGTGCAAGATCTAAATGCAAGAGCTCAAATGGAAACCTGATAACACGACACCAATGCTACAATGATTTGTACAAATTGATGAAAATAAAAACATTGTAAAAGTTAACAAATAAATCGTTATAAATGTCATTAAACACATCTTCTGCATTAGACAGACATGACATTGCCACCCTGTATTGTTTTGCCGAGATTGTTTACACACGTGCCCCTTGTGGATGTCTGCCATTGTCCACTTTGTGTGCAGCTGACAGAGAGGTACAGCGCATTCTGCTCGAGCTTCTAAATCAGATGGACGGCTTTGATCAAACTGTCAATGTGAAGGTGAGCGTGACCTTGGCACTTACTACATTTGAGAAGTGGAGATGGATAACCAATTGTGGTTGATAATAATTGGCATTTGTAAGGCGCATTTCATTCGTAGATCCCAGTAGCCCCCTGTGTATGGAAAGCAGGAAATAAACAGAGCCCGGGGTAAATGCTCGTGAATAGGGGATGAAAGCCAATTTAAAGAGGTGAGTTTTCAAAACAGACTTAGATGTCTAAAAACTCTTATTAGCAGAGGCAAAGTGTTCCAAAATGCCTGATCACCCAAGAAAATGAGCCTTGACCACGGAGTACTTGGGAGAAGGTGATCCGAAGATCTCGGGGAGTTCGTTGGTGTGTGAAAATGGATCGGTTTCTGCAAATATTGTTGGTGGAGATTCCCAATTTGACACGTAGGCTTTCGCGACCAATGTTATTCATAATAAAGGGTTTTTTGGGTTAGATCGCAAAAGTATAAATGTGTCGTTAACCCGCCACCACCTGACAGCCAACCAGTAAGGTTTGTCACTTAAACAAAATGTGCCAATTAATTACTACATGAGCTCAACGGTGTGTTTGGAGAGTAAATCCACAACTTTAACAATCTTGAGTACGACGTTTGAGATTCCCAATGTTTAATTTGTTTTTGGGTCAGGTGATCATGGCGACAAACCGTGCGGATACCCTGGACCCAGCGCTGCTGCGTCCGGGCCGGCTTGACCGCAAGATCGAGTTTCCCATGCCGGACCGCCGGCAGAAACGCCTCATCTTCTCCACCGTCACCGCCAAAATGAACCTCTCCGAGGAGGTCGACCTGGAGGATTGTATCCTTCTGCTGTTCATCTTATCATGGGATTGTACCCGAGGGCTTATGATTTGTCAAGCAGCCCAGACTTGTGATGTTAAAATAAGGTCATTATGTCACGCTTTCCAATGTTCGTTCCTCTTGGCAAGTATGGAATTAGCATTGCGGCAGCTGACGAGTAGTGTTTCAGGGCAAAATGCATTTCAATATTTGTGAATAATTCCAGTTTTCAAAATAGTAAGTCCCTAACAGCAACAGAGCTTTAAAGTATAGTTTGGTTCATATTGGATCTTCTTTACAAGCGTTATAGTGCCCCCGTCATAACAGATTAAGCGTTTGTTAGAAAGTGGGGCAACAGTTGACACTTAATGACGGATAATACAAATGAAATATGGTCTACAACATTGTATGTCGGCTACCTTAACGAATCATCGTTCAGATGTTGCAAGGCCAGACAAGATCTCTGGAGCCGACATTAACTCCATCTGCCAGGAGGTGAGGACATTCATTACGCCTATGACCCAAATCTCCAAGTATTTTGCCCAATTCTGTCACGTCTTTTCGATAGTGCTAGGACAGTAAACCGCTATGCATAACACTGGTGTCATATACCATGGGGCATTGTGGGCAGTAGGGGGCAGTGCAGCAAACTCCCATTTTACTGCATGTCTTGTGTTCCCATTTCTATGCTCCCTGCTTTTGCCAACTCGCATTGACCAGTATTGTTTTAAATCGCCCACGCGATCCACGCGGAGTGGGGAGGCCCTCTTCCAGCAGTGTATTGACAGAAAGGATGGTGTATGAGGGCTCATAAACGTGTACATTAAGGACAACCCAATTATTGCATTTGTAATAAAGTGACAAAGCGATTGTCAGAGTGGTGGGGTGAAGGGGTGACATGATTACCCTCGGGTAGTGAATCGGTTGAACTGTACCAATTGCAGTCTCATGATATGATTGTATTTAATTTGACACTAAATACAAGTTGTTGCATGGTTAAAATGGATAAGTGCATTTTGTGAAACAGCAGTGTGTACGGTCAAGTCAAAGTAATTTTCTGAGCAAAACAGCATTAAGGTGGTGTGTTTACATCCCTGTGTCACGGAGGTTATTCCTGATTTCTATAGCTGGTGTGAATGTCCATAGGATATCCACTGTTGGCCTTGCCCACAGAGTGGTACTAATTTTAACGACCCATTTAAGTATGATGGCCTGAGTTGACCCCCGACAAGGATTTGAACTCGCAACCTTCCGATTGCGAGCCGTTCATTCTATCACTGAGCCACCTGGCCTGTGTCCAGTTACATGTATAAGTGTGCTAAAACGCGGGGCCCGTTCTACCAATGAGCCATCTGGCCTGTGTTGTATGTATGTTGAACTTGTTTTGCGCAGTACGTAGAAAAACTGTGCTCATCGGGAGGTGTTGCAGTATCTGTGTAAGTGTGCTGAGATGCGATCGCTTGTGCTGTGCAGGCCGGCATGCTCGCAGTGCGGGAGAACCGATACATCGTCTTGGCCAAGGACTTTGAGAAAGCGTACAAGAACAACATAAAGAAGGATGAACAGGAGCACGAGTTCTACAAATAAGCCAGCACAGGGAGATTTCTCACACAACACAGATTTCACACTTTTGTTTTGCCTATGTGAAACAGACGTCGTAGACACAGTAGACTCTAACCACGTTGAGTTGTATACAGCAGGGTTGATGTATTGACAGTACATTATAACAGTGACTTGCACGTGAAACGTTAACAGTCCGAGCTTCTGAAGAACTTTACTGGCTTCTTGTGAGCACACTTTGTTGTCATCGTAGAGGCTGCACAGATTTTTGGTCGGCTAGTAACACCATGAAACCACATGCTGACTTTTTAACAAGTCATTTATAAAACAAGGTTAAAGAACACGATTATCTGTTTTTTGCTTTATAATAAAGGAAGTTAATTATGGAAAACTACTTGTCTGCATTCATTATTGGAGTAGTGTGTAGGTAGGAGTGCAACTTTTATGCCCAAATTCACATTTTATTGAACAAGCTTAAATGTTGCCTGGGCCAGTGGTTCCCAACCTGTGGTCTGCGAGGCTGTGGGGAGATGTTAACTACCTCGCCTGATACAACAGGAGGTTGTGGGTTCGATCCTGACCCTGACGCCTCTGTATTTGGAGTTTGTATGTCTCTCTCCACGTGGTCGTGTGGAATTTTCTCCGGGTCCTCCGGTTTTCCCCCTCCACTTTTAGAATCGACATGCGTGTTGAATATTTGGTTGCTAGAAATTTCCCCATGATAATCTACTTTGTTGAGCTATCATTTGTGGCCAGATGGCCTCTGAAAAAGCTATTTAGCTCGGTGAGCCTTACCTGGTAACATCAAATAGTTGAGTTTTAAGTGGTTTGCAGAACTGTTTCAAACACTACGATTTAGAGCAGTCTTAATTTACTGTTAAATTATGGTGAAATTGTTATCACTTAACGTGATAACAATTATTTTATTGTTTCCCTTCAACGTATCTACCGAAAGAGCTAAGAATATGGTTGGCTACGTGCAGTGCGAAAAAAGTTAAACATGCCGTGTTTAAACGAGGAATTGCTGGATGTCATTGTTGCACGGTAGTCCGTACAAAACCTGAGGGTTGCCAGGAAGTGGTCCGTGGATTCAAAACGGTTGAGAATCACTGGCCTAGGTAATTTGCTCTCGTACGTATGTTGAACTTATTTCGCACCATACAGAGCCAATCGTTCTATCAATGGTAATAGACAACTTTGTTTTGATTCCGGGCCACAGCTAACTATATAAGTGGTGAGTGATATTAGAATTAGAATATATATACTGGAGGAATCTTATGAGCGATGAAGCTCTTTCACAGCTATCCAGTAGGGGTAGGTCAGAACGTTACAGCAAACAATACAAAAACACTACAAGAGTGGAGAGATAAGTAATACAAAAAGATATATACAAATACAACTACTCTTTTTTATCTTACCTGGTAAAGCCCACTGACCTATTAGCTTATTTTTCAGAAGCGATCTGGCCATGAATGATCGCTCAACAAAGTGGCTCATGTAGCAATTTATAGCAGCAAAATAAACTTGCTCCTTCGACCTGCTTCTTCAACCAGCACTGACCAAAGTGTTGGAGTATGGTTAACCTTTATGACCGGCACGGCTTGAGGAGGCTTTCATCCAGCATTGGATTGGAAAATGGTTGTAAATTACAAACAAAAAAACATTCACCGTTATGTGAATCGGTCCTCTTTTTAGCAAATGCAGCTCGTGGATTATTTGGTGATGGGTTCGACCTCTCTCTGCTGCTTTAAACTAAGTTTCCTGGAATGGTCCTATCAATATCGCAGTATTAGCGTTGGGATAGATTGTAACGTTCCAATGCATTTCTTGGTACAGTAATTGCATATCGAAAATAAGAGCTGATTCTGGATGTTATACAGAGTGAAAATGTGTTTTCTTGCTCCACCGTGTACTGCAAACGGATTTGCACAAAAATTTGCATGAAATCATTCGAATTATCTTTTAAACGTGTAATTTATTAACGTTCCAATACTTTACCATTTGACCCTTTTTTTAATCCTTTTGCATTAAGTGTGGTCAACAGAGAAAGTAACTGCAGCATTGAGGAGCGTTGCATGTTTTGTAGCAGATTCCACTGAAGCACTGAAGTGGATTTTGTTCTCGAGCACTACTTGTGCTGCGAAAGCTGATAAATCTGTAAGCTTATGCAACAACAAAAACCCAACCTCGAGCTGCGTTGGCATTGAACACAAACAGGCACAAACATTTCAAACTTTATTAATAAACGATTACGTCCATGTGTCCGTGACCTAAATGAGTAAAAATTGTAGATACGTTTTAGAAATGTATTTGATTAAAACATTCGCTCATTAGCGTGAAAGCTCAATGCTTATTATAAAGGATAACCGTATTGCTCGCAACAACAAGAACATTGTATTTCTTTCTCTGGACTGTTTGTATGTTGGGTCCGAACCATATCCGTGCAGAATGCTCGCATGCTTGCGAAACACGTGTCGATCGGGATCAAGGCTTTCCACTGGGGAAAAGCTAGGTGTCGGAAGACACGCCTGCGATCGTGTTTTAACCGTGTCGTTGTTACGTGGGTGCATGCGTGCGTACGTGGAAACCGTGGTTGAGATGCGTGCTGCATTTGTGTGTGGGCATTGCGTAGTTTCAATGCGGCATCTTCTCTACTGGCTGCCCAGTTTTGACCAGAACTCCGAGAGCTTGGTTAGGAATTCACGGCTGTACTGGGATACAGCATGAGCACCATCCTTCAGTTGTTTTCTGGAAAATTAAGAGAATCATGGTCAGCGGCAGGGAAGGCAGAACACTGCAATCTTAACCAATCTTTGTGTATTTTTCTCTTTCATACTATGATCCAAAAATACTTTTCCCCCAGATCCAGCAACCTCTGTTCATTCTCGACCATTAATAAAATTAGTGACGAGTCGTATCTGAACCTGTAGTATTTTTATATAATCAGGAAAGGGCCGCTGAGCTGTACAGCTTTTTTTCAGAAGTTACCTGGCCACAATTGATAGCTCAACGAAGTGGCTTGTGTGGAAATTTGTAGCAGCCACATACTCGAAACGCATGTTTCTAAGCGAGGAGAGAAAATCTGGTGGACCCGAGAAAAAATCTACATGACCACGGGGAGAAAATGCAAATTCCAAATATACAGGCGTCATGGTCGGGTTGGAACCCACGACCTCCTGTATACCATGCGAAGTAGTTAACACTCGACCTGTATACCATGCGAAGTAGTTAACACTAGCCGCCTTCCCTTAACAAACTCCATCATAAATGAGTTACCTGCTGCAGCGGGTGGATGGGTGTGAACACCTCACCAGCAGTGGAGGACACACGTGGCCAGGGATGCTGCTGGCAATATTGCCCTCTTGTGTACCATGTTACCCGTAATGCTTACTAATAAATAGCACTTGGCCTGTAGGCTCGAAGGCGAATTACGGAGGTGTGTGTGTGTGTGTGACGGCGTGTGTTCAGTCACTGTCGTCTCAGTCCGTCAACCCATGGCATCTGAGTCTGTCCCCGTGACCTCCTGCTAGCGGGCGTTATGACTTCACGTGGCCTTTTAAGTGCACCTAGCCTGGCACAAGCGCCGCGGTGACGTCACTGTCACTTAGTGGCGAATGACAGTTGTTGTTGTTGCCCAGTCATTGAATACACTTACCCGGCCTGCTGGGCGAGCTCATTGTTCTGCACTTGGGTGATGCCCTCCTGTGCCTTGTCGGTCAGCGAGCGCATGAATGAGACCAGTATGTCGCGCACCTGGTCCACCTGGTCAGGCTCTTCCGCCTGCACGTTCTCATCCCAGGCGTACCGTGCCTCGGCTGCAAATTACACAGGCAGACAAAGACACCCCCGCATAGCCTTAACAGACTGTTGGGGGCAAGTGCTGCTGTTGGCGAGTAGCACCTACGAAGAAGGTGCCGAGCACGGCACACGTAGAGGGTGGGTGGCCAGCACCACGCCCGGCCGCCTTTGTCTCCCCAGTGGTGATGTTTACACACCGCACCAGGTACTCATTTGAGGCCTAGTCGACCTAGGGAAGGCCCACCAAAGACCGGTTCAGATATTTGTCACCGATGTTGGCCGTGAACGGGAGTCGAACTCGGGAACTGCCGGGTTTCGTAGCGTGGCGCAGCTAACCGCCACACCACTGCGCTTAAACACAAAAAGCAGAATTGCTTTTAAGAAGTGATTTTTTTGTGTTTAGTGTTGTTGTCCTTCCCCGCACCTCCGATTCGCACGGTTGGCTCCGTACGGCGCGAAAGAAATTCAACGTGCATACACACACACACGCGCGCGCACACAGGCGGAGCAGGAGCCTCATGTGCCGGTCACGAGCGCACGCAACGCGCGCGTGGTCACCACAGAGCTGACCAGACGTGCCACCACCTCTGGGCTCAATATTGGGCCAACTCCGCGGTGCAGTGTGGCCAGAATGGCAGTCGTCCCCCGCTGTGCGTCGCCCCAAGGCTGGAACCAAAAAGCCCCAAAAATCACAAGGGCCCGGTTCAACAGCACCCGATGTGCAGCCACGGTAGGGTGGGGTGGGGGGGGCAATCGGTCCAACTGGTGTGCCCATCGTATCGTCCGTAAGCTCGGAGCAGTGTGCGTACGCGTAAGGGGCCGTTCATAAATGACGTCACGTGATTTTTGACGATTTTTGACCCCCCCCCCCCTTCGTCACACGGCGTCTTAAAAGTCAGACCCCCCCTCAAATATGACGTCACAAAGCTCTGCCCCCCCCCCCCCAAAAGCATGCTTCAAATCTAATTTTTATTTAAAGCTTTCGTAACTGCAGGGATTCATATTTCTTGGCTATTTCGGTAAAGTGTTTATATTTTTATTATTTTATTGTTTCCCTTCTCCGTGACTTTACCGAAAGAACCAAGAATATGCTTCAAATTGCTTTAACTTATTGTCATTGTAGTACTATGTAATGTGGCGCTGCACTCTGATGTTGTAGGAGAAAACATTTATTAAAAAGTCTATTTAATTAAGTAGAACGTGTTGTCTATATTTATTTAAAGTTGCGCATTTTGATGTGACGTCACATTTCTCAACCCCCCCCCCCCCTCGTCACACATCGTCACAAATGTCTGACCTCCCCCCCCCTAGGTGCGTGACGTCATTTATGGACGGCCCCTATTGCATCCGTAATAGATGAGGACTGTTTCGCAACCGCACTCACTCACGCGATGTCTGGCCCTCGCCTCGTGCATATGCGGATAATTATCACGCTCGTGTCAAATACACAATAATTATTCACTGCCCCTCTTGTCAGTCCACTGCTGGGCGAAGGCCCTCCTCCTCCTCCTCCTCACCGTGCCAGTTGTTGGACCATACTTCACCACGCCGGTCAGTGCGGGTCGGTGAAGTGAGAAATCGCGGATGGGGGAG